GGTTACAAAACTATATTATTAAGTTTATAAATTTAATATTTTTTAATTAAAATCTTACTGAATTTTTTGAAAATCATAGTATTAATATTATTATATATATATAATTAAAAATATTAAAATTTTATCTGCAATATAAAAAATATTTGAAATATGTTAGATTGTTGTAATTAAATTTTTATGTACAATAAAATAAAATAAAAATAATTAATTTTGAACATTGTAATTAGGATTAAAAAATTGCCATTTATTTTTAAGACGCTGGAACAACATGTAAATTATTAAGAATCAGAATTCTAATCTTTGAGAATATATTAAAGAATATATAAATAAAAACTTAATAAAGCCAATACAATATACCAAGATTATATAGTTTTATACCTAAAATTTAATATAATATGATCCAACTCTTAAGTGTTTTAAATTTAGATCATGATGTATTTAAAAAAATTGGAAGACTAATGAATCATATTTTTAATTTGAATAATGTACAAAAAAAATATACACTTTATAATTAAGTTTGCAAGAGTATTAGAATTTGAGATTATTTAATTTTACAATCAATTTTTAAGAAATGAAAATTGGAACCTTAATACAAGTATACAATATTATGCAAAGACATAGAAAAAAAATATAATATTTTATACATCTTTTTGTTTTTTAAAAATAACAGCACCATTTTTTTCTTAAAGACAATCAAAGTTCAAGAGAGGAGCTGGCAAGAGTGTTTAAAGCCTCAATGTGGCCTGCATTTATCACTTCTAAATTCTATATCATGTTGCTCCAAATAGGATGTTGTGCAAACTATTATTACCATTTATATTGTAAAAAGAATTCTAGTACAACTTGTGATCTAAAATTTTACAGAGCTTCAAACCATACACATGGAAACAACCAGTTCACTAAAGAAACTTATCAAAAGGATCCATAATATCAAATCCCTTTTGTTGTTTTTTATTCCATCATGCAATAAGTTCCGCATCCCTTTGACCCAGTGTGGTGCTTCCCTGTATGAAACCTCCCTCCACTTTAATTAATTAATTACACCCACCCCCCAATTAAGTCAATCGCATAGAAACTTGCACTTCGAGAAATCACTGACTCACTCCTTTCGAACGGTTTTTGTATTTGCCGTGTGGAGACCCTCCTCGGTCTGTCCGCCACCGAGCAGCTCGACGCGACCAGTGTCTACCTAGGAAAAACACACATATATATATCAATATATATACACACCCACACACACACGTATATATATATATATATATACATATATGCACACACAATTGTTTACAAAAATAAACACAGACACATTCACATTGCCGGACCAATGATAGAGGGCAAAAAGTTCAAGGACTGAGATGGAGGGTGGAGGAGGGAGGACGGAGGAGGAGGATTTGGCGCAGTTTTACCGAACTATTGCTAAAGGAGGAAGTCAACCGGAGCAGGAGTCTTCCTCGCCGAGACCTCGTCATTCCCTTCCCTTTCCATTCACCATCTTCGTGGGGAATCTGCACGTCGCATTATAGCGAGTGTTGGCTTGATCAGCGCGTCCACGCTGCTCGCGCCGCATGCGGAACTGTAGGGACCCCGCCACCTAGCGGTTGGCAGCTCACGGCTCGCATCCGTGAGCCGTTCAGAGTCCCCGAGTCCGCGCCTGCGCACCCGCGCCACTGGGTCCCTTGCCCCGGAAGACAAGGGGAATTGATGGACAATGCCAACTGGTGTCAATCACGCTGGATGGGAGATAACCACGAACGCGGACCTGGTTCCGGGTGATTATGATATTCATTCCTCGCCGAAAAGAATTATTAGTTGCTGCAAGGATTTGCAACATGAACACTGAGCTAGAACCTTGGAGGCATGGGTGCTGAGAACTTCAACTGCGGAGGAATGGACCCTCTTTTTATTATTGTTATTTTGCCCATCAGTCGATGTAGAATGACACGTAACGATGCTTAGCGATTTGCGCTTTCGATGAGCCTGATGCTTCAGTTTCTTTGTTTCTTTACATTTGGTAATGCTTCGTTAGTTCGTGACAGGGTGCGGTCAAAAATTGATTTGATTCACTGGAGTGGTTCTCCGAGATTCTTTTCTTGTTACTGCGGTGTAAAATCCTGATATTTGTTGGTCTGGTCATGTGTCGCACATGTGAAGGTCGGTAACTTTTACGCCTGAGATATTAGCTTGGCAGTTGGCTCCGCGGTAGTGTGCAGTGCGTCCGAATAGGACCTATTTGCGGCGGAAATCCGCAACAACCTTGTTCAAAAAAAATTAATTTAAGATCGACACTGGCAGGTCATCATGTACGGTCACTAATTTAGAGGAAATCGATTGTGGTGCAGAGAGCGGAATTTACTCATTTTCAAAAATAGAAGGATTCTTTTTGACTTGGCGCGGAATAGCCAGATGAGCCCACAGAGGAACAGACCCAAGCATGGCCCACGCGTTCGTCGAACTGGAGCCAAAAGCAAAACTCCAAGTTTGGGTAACTAGATTTTAATACATGACTGATGTAAGCTCATGAATCCAATTATTCTGCAGGGGTCACAGATCCATGCAAGTCAGTCTCTGTTCATCATGGACAAATTCGCTCAAGCACTAACCCGGATCTCTACAATTTAAGGAACAGTTCTCGTCATCTGGGTGGACAAGTTCCTTTTACACTTTAAATTTGGCACAGAGGAGCGATATTTCTATTGCCGAGATGAGTCCGGGGAATTTCCTTGGGAGGGGTCCTGAGAGTTTGGAGTTGTGTCCATTTCAGGTGTGCCAAAGGTGGACTTTGCAAAAGGGAATTCCTGCCAAACTTGCAAGCCATCGTCAACTCAGGTCCCGTCACAATCTGTAGACCCCCTGGTAACGAAATCCACGAGATGGAATCTCCTAGCCATAGATTGGGTCACCATCCATCTCACCAGTACCTATAATTGGGTGCTGCAATCCTGTATGAATTTTCTCGATGGAACTTGATGCCTTTTCTTTTCCCTGAAGCGCCGGCCCTGGGAACCACAACTGTAGTGAGGCACATAAGTGCAAAGATACGCGAGAATGCGCAAAGGAAAGTCGTCTGGATTTCTGCCAAGGATCTGTCTGGATGACCTGTGTAAGGTGGAGGATACCTCGGCCACCATGGGCCTCACCTGCCACCTTCAGCCTTGTGCGATACAATTCCGAGGTGGATGATAAAGTCGCAGAGTTCGCGCTCTTGTGCGGAGTTGCGAGACGTCTTTCGCTGCTAATCGATGTCCTGGCAACCGTGAATCTTGCCGAAAACGGAGCCCACTGGCCTCCAGAGAGTCGTTGTCTGTCCAGATGGGCTTCGCAGTGTCTGTCGATGTCTCCTGGGGATCAGTTCCTTGCATGGAGTTTTCCGAGCACAAACAATACATACTCAAAGTTCATGAACTCAATATATCCACCTATCTATCTGAATAATAACATACTTATAATTGTATGTGTGTGTGTGTGTATATATATATATATATGCAGATAGATATAAACATACAACTGCCAAATTTAGAATTTAAGCATTTAAAAACACTTATATAAATAAAAACATTTGTGGTACGAAACTAAACCAATCCTCACTCTAGACAAATTCGTTCACTTATTTATTAATTGTCTAGGGTATTGAAACAATCATCAAACTCAAACATGATTATTTAATATAAAATTATAAAAAAATAAACTCCTTGTTACATGCAAACCATTTCATAACCTAATACCGTGTATGTTCATGAATATCTAAATTGTATGCATTCAAGAACATAGCAAAGAAAATTTGAAAAAATATTAAAGTAAAAAAATTAAATGATAAAAAGAAAAAGAATCATGAAAAGTGGAAGGTTGTAGTTGAGCAAACCCGAACAGAGCAAGGCTCCATTTTCCCATCATTTAAAGAGGAACATCATTTTTGAAGAAATACAGCGGTCAATATTCCCGCTGAAATATCCTTGATGTAGCTTACTTTTATCCTTCACTGTCAATTTTACATACACATATATACACACATACGAAACAAAATAATAATGCCTGCAGTGAGATTTTAACTGAGAAGTTTAATGATTTAATTTGTTTAGTTTCAATCAAAGTTACTATAAACAAGTAGGCAAACACTAAGACCATCTTAGTTTCTTAATTTTTTTGCAGTGACAGCACCCACAATTCACTTCACTCACACATGTCGTTTACGACATACGCTTCCTGTAAGGGCTAGTTTGCGAGATTCGGTGGCCATGAATTCTAAGCGAAAAGAAGGAGAAAAGAAAATAAATACAATAAATACAATAAAGGAAAAAAAAAAAAAAAAAAAAAAAAAAAAAACTCCATGGGCTCGGTGAGTGAACTGATCGGTCAGACTGGGGGAACATCAATCCAAGCCGAGGCGTATGAGACAAGTGGATAAGCTCTCCCCCGCTGCACCTGATTTTTAACATATAATACAACGAGTCAACGAAAGTCAGTAAGCAAGGTTCTGACCTTTGGAATCCAACATCCAGAGTTGAACTGGGGCTGTGTCATGGGATCGGGCTTTCAGAAGAATAAGAAAGCATGAACTGGGGTAAGCGAAGTAAGCGACGAAGGATGCGACAGACAGTACAGCTGGTTGACTTAAGTAAAAGTGAAAAATAAATAAAACGGGAACATACATCATCACATTCTGCTCTGCAGTACATGGTGGGCGCCGATGGACACGCTCCGGTGCTGGTACCCGGAACGGCGATTCAACATCCGTCCAGCCTTGATCCTTCACGTAGGCTTTGCTAGATATCGGAGGGTAGGGAGTGGTTATGACCCGCGCGCACGAGAGGGGAGCGGTGGTGGGGAGGGGATCGGCAAGTGGAAGACGACTGGGAGAAACGCAAGAAGGAAACAGTGGCCCTTGGGTTCAGTGGCCAAATGGAAAGGTGCTCGCAAGCAGCACTGTAGACGGTGTGGACTGATAGGTGTTCGTAGGGGGTGGGGATAGGGAGAAGCTCGACCCTCGGGGGATCACCGGAGGCCGAAGAAGCGGAGGCTCGACTTTATCCGCTACAGAACCGGATGTAAGCACAATCGTCCTCTCATCAATCGGCAGGGCCCCGAAATACCGTTCCTTGGGTCTACAGAGCAGAGGCCTCAGTTCGCCGGGCTGCTAGCCTCGAGAGATGAGCTGTGGTGTGTTGAAGTAAGTTTCCAATAACGCTACGATTCTCTTTCTCGTCGTTGGGGTCGCAGTTTTTCTCCCGAGCGTGTCGACACAAACTGGTTGGGGAGGCGGGGGGTAGGGACAAAGGGGGGGGTTTATCGCCAACACGTTGTGCGTCTTGTGCACGTTTGCAGGAGAGATTTCGGACGTTGAAGGCACGGATTCTGTAGTGAAGTGGATTGTAGGGATGGTCCAGCGAGCGTTTGCGTGGTCATGAGAATTACGTGGAGTGTGCTGTGTGCTGGCACTCACGTCAACGCTGTCTAGTTAGAACCCGGCGCGTGGTTACTAGGTTGCGGAATCTGCAATTGGATATCGAGCGGTGGTCGCATGCTTGGGAGGACGTTTTAGTGGGCAGCGGGTGCCGAGGGAGTTAAGGCGTAGACACAGGGAGCCTTCGGTGTTCAGGAGGTGGGAGAATTTGGAAGGGTTGCACAATTTTATTTATTTATTTATTTATTTTTATATACAAATTATCAGGGAGAAGAGAACGGGTTTAGCGAGCGGTTGCTGAGATGGGGAGGGTTAAGCTGGAGATCAAGAAGATAGAGAACCCGACCAACAGACAGGTCACATACTCCAAGCGACGCAATGGGCTCATTAAGAAAGCTTACGAGCTGTCAGTGCTGTGCGATATTGATCTGGCGCTTATCATGTTCTCGCCTTCCGGAAAGCTCACTCAGTATTGCAATTGCAGGTGGGATCCACTAACCCATTACTTATGTGACTTCTAGGGACTCATGAACTGAACATCTTTGTGATCATTTAAAATGACCTAGTGCTCCCTCAATCATGCAACCTAGACACTGAGAGTTAGACTGGGACACGTCGGAGCTACACTGATTACGTGAGTTGTGGTTGTATGCGCCTCCCTAATATAGTTCAAGGTCTTGTCTCTGGTTCTCAGTAGCCTCAGCCAACCGCATTTATAGTTTCTACGGCGACTAGGAATATTTCCTACTTTCACAGTGGAGCCCTAGAATCCTTGCTCAGGTTTCGATCAGGAATGTTCTAGTTTTTAATTTTCTCTAGATAAGTCAACTGCCTCATCGCTACCAGTTTGGCGGCTGCTAATGGTTTGTGAGCTTGTGACTTGCAGCATTGAAGAAGTCATTGCTCGGTTTGCAAATTTGCCTATGCACGAGAGGAATAAGAGGTATAGTGAATTCCACTGGCCTTCTCACTTCGAAATCATTCTAGTTCTCTAGACTGCGGTTTTCTTCTCCCAGACCGTCTTACACGTACCAATTTTATAGCAATTTTCTTTATATACTGCTTTTGCACATAGTGGATCAGCAAGTGGTTTGTGTGGTGGGGCAGCTTTGAGGATATGTTGACTCGCTTCGCAAACAATCAGATGCATCATGACCGCAGCAAGTACACTAGGTGTGTATCCTTCCTCTCAGTGTATTGATGTCGTGACCAGCATTAGTTGTAGGAATGTGCTGAATTTGTTTTCCTACTGATTGGGATTTCTAATTTGTAAGTCTTGAATATACCTTGTATTCTAGAACAGTTGTTTTCACGTGATTCAATTGCATTCTCATGATTATCTTCCTGGGTTGACACTGCGTGCCGTTGGCATGGGGCTTTTTCGGCATCATTTCAGGAAGATCGAAAATTTGGAGGTAAGTCTTTGGGTTGGGTGTCCTACTTTCATCAACAGAAGCATTGATCTTCATCTACTCAATCAAAAGTATCATGTTCGCAACAATTGATAGATAGTGGGGTGTTTGTTTTTTGATGCTCGGCTAATTAGTGGTCACCTCTTGCACGTGAGCGCAGTATCTACACAAGGCATTGAAAAAACTTGCTGGAGAGAAGGATCTTGTTTCGAATCAGCAGCTCTTGTCCGGGAGGTTAGCGTTGTTGCCAATCCTCCATAAATTCAAGCCATTTTTTAGGTTCATTTTGTCATCTTTGCGTTCACAATAGTTTCTCGGCATTTATCTCAAGCGCGTCTGTTCTATACTCTTGCAGTCTTCTCCGATCTACCTGATGATCCAGGTGGCACGGTCCCGCACTGAGCAGTGCAAACTACGATTCTGACTTGTGGTTGTTGGTTTTTGTGGACATTGCAGTAAATCAAGTTCTTACGAGGCTGAGGCAAGTCTCATCCCTGTAACGTCACATTGTCCACATCATTCAAGACACCCTGTATCTTGTCAGATTCGATTACCTGCATCTATCGCTTAGAATATTTTTTATGGTGATGAACTGCTGCCTCTAAATTCATCATGGTTCACTCTGTGCAGGTGCTGCAACAGGAGCTGAAGAAAGCACAACAAGAAAAAGAATTGGTACAACAACGAGCAAGGTACAATGTCGTTAATCAGCTATTGACTTGAGTGTCTAAGTTCTCTTTTGTTCACTAGAATCTGAGTTAGCTCGTAATCCTTAATCACAGCGAACTACGAAATTTTGTATCGGAATTGAATCTGTCTATAACTGACTTACTAGGGTGTTTTCTGTAGGCTGTACTTGGCCGATGAACAACTTCTTCAGGGCGTGACTTCTGTTCAGCAGCTGGCGAATATGGAAACTGAATTAGAGCAAGCACTAGAGCGAGTACGGGCCAGAAAGGTACTTGAACACATTTTCTCCTTGTAAGAACAGCTAGTCAAACCACAACATACTCAAAGTATATAATGGTGGACGTATGAAATTGGTGTTGCGCAGAACTACGTGAGCAGTGCTTATCAGACTGCAAATGCCCTGCAACGGCAGCAACACGAATTTCTTGGAAACAGTCTACAGGTGCGAACAGTTCCTGTATTGTTGGCAAACTGACCAAGGTGTTCTGGAACACGATCTGTTTGCAATTAATACCATGAATGACTGACTAAGGTTTTTGTTTATTTCTGCCTGTTTAGATGATGGCATTGCGACAACAGCAACAGCAGCAGCAACAGCAAGCGGGTATGGGAGGAACTCCGTCATTCTTGCACTGGACGATGCAGTCCGAGCGTCCAGAGCCCACCCAGGATTTCATGGAGCAGCAAACAAACTCCTCGGCGTCACTCATGCCTGCACCGCTCAGTATTCGGGAACCAGGTAGCAACGGTGAAGCAAATCCAGCAGCGGCGGCTTATTTCCCCGCTGGACCGCAACCGGGAGCATTAGAATCGCTTCGGCAGATGGGAATGGCGGCCGCCAGCCGTGGATTGACCATGCACGAGATGTCTTTGGAGCAGCCGAATGGCCAGTACATCGAGGATCAACAAAAGAAAGCCAAGGTGGAAGGCAGCATGGGCTTTGCTACCTCTAGCAGTGCCGCCGAAGCCGTCTCCGAGAATACTGTCACGCGTGATCATCAACAATCTGAGCAGACTGACGTCAATGGCGGTGCTGCAGATTGGCCTCCACATCCCGCGAATCACCATCCGAATGCATTCACGAATGGAGGGTTGTTCTCAAGTTTTAGTCAGGTACATACGATCATGAACTATGGAGAGACTATCAGCTCTGTAACGTGCGTTGTTACTCTTGGTCTATCTGCGAGCTTACCGCACAATTTTTGCAAATCGCCTGTCCTGGTATGCATAGCTGAATTCGCAAGCAATGTGCAGAACGGACACCATCCTGCGTGGAAGTAATAAACAGTGGGAGGGGTCTAATTTCACTTAGATGGAGAAGGAGCTACTCATGGTCCGAATTTGAGATTCAACTCCGGCAAACCGTGCCAGAAATCTGTCAAGGTGGGTGCAAGCTAAGTCATCAACCACTGAGCTCTCGGGTTAGTGGGAAGCTGGTCATCATCGGGCTAAGGTTTGGTCACTAGAAACAGTGTGAGAAAAACGGGCACTATGTGCTTTGAGCGCCGATGACCAAACGTGCTCTCTGCTCTTCTTCCCCCGCGTCCTTTCACTGACTCCACCTTCCCCGAAGAATGCTCATGTCACCACGCCGAGCAGAAGGTTGACTTGGATTCTAGCGTTGGCGTGGAGTGCCGGAGATTTTTCACCTCGTGTGCAATTGTAATGAGAGAACGATTCATCTAGTTGACTGTTTCTCTGAATCCGAGACTTGCATGTGATACATGACTTGGCCCCTGATGAGGATGCCTGAACCGGAGTCTTGGACCTCGGTGCAGTGCCATCAGTGGCTCATGTATCATAGTTAGGCTGACCGTTTCTGAAACCTAGACTCTTCCAGACTCTCATCGGTCGTGGCAGTCGGCCTGGCCTTGTGTCATGTTGCAACGTCTCTGAATTGTACTCGACAAGCTTATACTTGAAAACCAACCTCGTCTCGTAACCTGATTGTGTCACGGTCTGCTCATCACGAGCCTGGGTTTGGGGGGGGGGTGCAATATTGTGATTATTCACGATATGAGGCTTGCTGTTGTGAAAAGGATCTGTCTGTACTCGTTGCGAAGACTGTGTCTTAACCATATCTGACATGAGCTGATTGTTCTTACGTGCACTCATAGAATTCTCATCGGGATGGTGAAAGATACTCATGCTTTTTGCCACTTGGCTCTCCCGAGATTGACTATTCTTTGTGAATTTGCAGTCTGCTGTTGTTGCTTGCATTTGTATTGTTGTGTTGTTAAAAAAAAAAAAAAAAAAAAAAAAAAAAAAAACTTTACGCATTCACTGCGCTATTGAGCGTTATATGGGATATGTAAGTTTGTTAGGATACGTGAAAGGATATGGGGTGTGTGATATTTGAAAGTTATAAGAAGTTGTCCTTTTGTATAAAATATAGATTCTGATTACTGAATTTGTTTTGCTGGTGTTGTTTCGAACCCAAACCCAAGTTTGATTATTATCTACAATTGGGACGTGTACATGTATAAATGTAAACATTCTCACAGACACATTACTCTGATGTTTCTTCTTCAGACGATAATGGGTTGTCTCACAGTTCTTGAATGCATGGAAATTTTTATTATGCGTTAATCACTTAACTGATTGATGTGTTTTATGATAAATGCAAAAAAAATCATACTTAATTATCATTTTGTTAGATTTTTAGACTAACCTCTTGTCTGTCTCGAACTAGAATTTAGAACCTAAAAAATTATTGCATTATAATCAAAAAATTGTGTGTTTGACATTTTCGAAAACCGATTGATTCGTTTCTTCATAAAAATTAGTTTTAAAGTTCGTGTTTAATGCAAAATTCATAAAAATATAGTTACATGTTCCAATAAGTTCAATACCATTCAAAGTACAAGCCACCAAGAAATATTGGAGTCTTGTGATTTATGCATACATCCATTAGATTTAATACACCTTCAAAAAACAATAAAAACTGAGGTTGATAGAAAAAAGTTTTTTTTACTTTGGATCTCATATTCACTGTTTGTAAGTATTCTTACAAACTTAAAATTTTCATACTTTGTTAGATCCCTCAAATTTTAAAATGTGGAAAACACATCTGGAGGCAACGATTTTGAATCGGGTTGATGATCAGAGTGGGAGGGAATACTTGGAATGCATGCTTAACACTTTGAGGGAAATTTATATATATATATATATATATTTGCCATTATTTTATCAAGAGAATTTGACAAGAGAATGATTTTTTGAAAATCATTTTTTAAATTTTTATTATGATTGCCTGTTTCAAATTTTATCAAATTATAACATAATTGCTTATTTCTTTGGAACAAATCCCCTTTTCGGCTAACAATATTCTATATACATTATAACAATTTTTTTTTTGACATATATATTTATTGAAGGAGTGCAATTATTTCGTTATTATAATTTTTCTTTTGCATGTTAAAAATATTTTTTGCATAAAATAGGTTCATTTTGTAAATTGGTCTACTTTCATTGTCATAAACACATTAAAAAAAACCAATTTTTATGTAATATTTCTTATAAAGAAACACGTGTGATAAACATTTAGTTATAGGTTATAAATGGCAAAGATGAATTATTTATTATTTTTTTGATTATTCAAAATGTTGTGTAGAAGTTTGTTGTTTCTATTCACTTACAACAATTAATTTTATTTATTTATTTGATGCTTCAATATAGGTTTGTGGATATGAACCTTTCTCATTCTTGAAAATAATTATATTGATTTATTCTTTAAATATTTCATAAATGTAGAATATTTTAATAGTTCATTAGTAAGTTATATTTACATTTGTATTTATTTTAAAGATGAATTGTGTTGTACTAAATGGTCATTCTTCGAAATCACATCGTAGCATTTGAATACAACCACATAAATTAATTTAAATGGTAGTTACTTGTGCTTAAAGTAAATTGTGGGTATGATGTAAGTGACAAGGGAATTTCTTGTTGAACAAATCACTTTCAAATTGAAATACAATATAAAACGTATTTAACTGTAACAATCCCACAAGAAATATAAACAGAGTACTTGGTATTGTTTAATTTATATCGATTTATTAATATTTATTGCATTTATTTGCTTATTTCAGCTACTGTCTTGATCTCGGGATGTCATGTTTTGATATGTCTTGTTTTATTCAACTTTGTGTTTTTCGATGAAAAATTATCTATTATATAAGATAGCTTGGTTATCAGAAGTTCACACACAATATGCTTTGTGTACTAATTTACAAGAGTATTGAATAAATACATGGAAAAATATATCATATCAACTTTCTACAAAAACATTTAGTAAGTATTTTGTATATTAAAAAAGTGGCACATTTCTTTTTTATCTACACTAAAAATAGTAACAAAACCTTATTTGAAAATACTCCCTTTCATACAGAATGAGATTCTATTTCTATGAGAAACACACAGTTTCTCAACTTAGAGAAATTAACTCATTTTACAAATAGTTAGTCAGATAAACCACACTAAATATTTTATCAAACTTTCAAAATTTGACTTTAAAATAAATGTAGGCACATCAAAACAGCGTTTGTATAAAATTCAATAAAATTTCAGAATTTAAAATTTAAAATTAATGAGCGAAATCTCATCCATCGAATGAAATCTTGACAGGCAAGCAATCTCGTCATGGAAAAGGAAAAATCAAGGAAATGGAAAATAAAGTACTTCGAAGAAAGAAAAGTCAGAAAACAACGTAAAAGATGGGCGGGAACAACGTGTGCGAGAACAAACATTTTGCGTCGCAGAAGCGAAAGCTAGAGCGAGCGGGGGAGTGATTGATCGATTCAGGTCTTGGGGATGGTGCGCCGATTGATACGCCAGACTACGGACGCTTGATTGGTTGGATTGGATTGGATTTGTAGTGCTTGTGCGATTTGATTGAACCTTGCGAAGGAGGTGAAGGGGGTGAGAGAGAGAGCGAGAGAGATTTTCGATGGCGCAGCATGGAGCATTCAATCCCGGCTCTACTTCTCAGACCCCAGGGTCGCTGTCGTGGGTGCCGCTCATTGTATCGGCTCTCGTCGTAGCGCATCTCTTCGCCCTGGTGAGTGCTCTGCGAACGCTTTCAATTTGTGGGTTTCTGATGGGTGCCTCATTTCATGCACCTTTCCAATGTGCCATGCACTTGCTTGTGGAGTTGACGACGATGTTAGGTTTTTCAGTATATTGACCTAATGAAAAGGTCATACTGGGCTCTGTTTCGTGTTTTAGGAGTATGATCTAGCTCCTTCGTCGCAATCCACCGGTGCTTGTCGTTCCCCATGCTCTATTATACATCGCCAAGTTTTTAAACCCTCTCCTGAGTTTTTTTTCTTGGCTTGATACCGAGCTCTAACGTGCCGTCTATTTTATTGAAATACCTTTTAGCTGGCAGTATCATTAGTTTTGTGGGAAAATTGAACTGGTGATGACGTATACTCCGTTGCAATCACCCTTTGCTCGGATATACTATTACCCAGGTTGCTGATTGTTTGACTTGCCGTTAAGATAATAAGGGTTTCTCATTTTTCAGCGTGTAGGTACTTTTGCGTTTGAAAATTCAACAGAGTAGAGGAAGCAATGGAGTTCTTGAATTAATTTTTTAGACTCCACTGAGTGTTGCAAATAAAATTCTTGACATATTCAGTGCACTTTCTTGGGCTCAATACGTCATTCGTGTGTGTGTGTGTGTGCATTTTAAAATGAATCAGGCCTTTTGGATCTACAAGTTGGCTTCAGATAAACCTGAGGAGCGGCGGAAGGTACACTAATCTTTGCAAGGACTTACGAACTTGCTTCCTGTTTGGAGGGCAGTCCAATATACTATGACAGGTGTGACGACTTCAATCTGTTTGCAATATAAGCTCTGTCGTTTTAGATGTGGTATTAGTTGCAGTGTTTTCTAGCATATTTTGGTCCCTTGGATCATTTATTTCAAATTGTAGCCAATAGTTACGAACACATCCATCAATACACTTGGTTACACTCCGAACAGACATCGGTGTCCATCTATATCTGCAAGTTTCTTCCTTTCTTCCTCTCTTTTTCCTTTGAAATATTCGGCAATTTGTGTGGAATACCGACTCATTTCATGCAACCCCACCAGTGAAGAAACAGCTTAAGTATCTCATTTGGTGTTCACCACACTTGGAAAGGTGAAAGGCTGCGGCCAGTTTGGGGGGAGGGTGTTGTGCGACATCGTGGTTTCGCACAAATCCTCCTTTCGCACATCTCGTGTCGCCCCGGTTTTCGTGATCCGCCAGGTAATCTCCTGCGAACATGTTGGGAGGGTAGGACGAGGTGCCGAAGTGGCACGGTTGGTGGATGGGATTACTAGCGTGACGCTATTTCCCCGTTCATCGGCAGCGGCGGTTCGGAAGTCGTCCGCATCCGTTGTAGTCTAGATGGTTAGGATACTCGGCTCTCACCCGAGCGACCCGGGTTCGAGTCCCGGCAACGGAAGTTTTCATTTTATGAAAGACTGTATACACACTTTTTCCTGTCCTGTGTCATCGTTGCAGTCCTCCCCGGCCAGAACCAAAGCTACAAAGTGACACCCGCAAATGGAAAAAGTTTTTAAAAAAATATGCTTTTTGACTTTTGACTTTTAACTTATTGTATATTAATAAAAACATGGCTTTCGTTTAATGTATATTGTCTAATAAAAAGAGGATGTTAATACTTCTTAATAACAACAAAACTTATTATATAAATATTTAGGTTGTAGAATGATTCTAGAATATATGAATATGAATACTTTAAAAAATATTTCAGATAGTTTATTTTGGCTATATATTATATAATACAAGAAAATTTCATTCAAACAATGAGGTTTTCTCATGTGACTTGCTCCTACAAGGTTTATGATGTTTACAATGTGTTTTCAACATTTTAAAAATATATTTACAATGCTAAATATGATATCTTTTTTTGCTTTTACTCTAGTTTAATTAGTACTTGTAATACTAAATATGGTATCTTTTTTGCTTTAGCTCTAGTTTAATTAATACTTGCAAGATCATATTTAGACTCCTCCCTATATAACCATTGCATCGCACTGTCCATGCACAAAGCTTTAAGTTAAGTGTGCCCTTGCACAAAGGCAAGAAATTGTGGATGAAGCGCAAAGCTTTGTGTGCTTAGTTGTGCTCATGGCATAGTTGAGAAAGAGACTAATTGGTGGTCACCATCCACAAGACAAATAAAACTTAAACAAAGACATCCATTGCATTGTCATGAACAAAAACATTGTCATTTAAACAAAAACCCATGTATTACACATGAGGTTGATGCTAGTATATATATATATATATATAGAGATATACATATCTATCAAAAAAAAATCTATAGTGTATATTTTTTTTTTATGTTGTTAGAATAAAAATTCACATCATATTGAAGTTGTTCTATTATATGAATATTGTAACACTAAAAAGTATTATTAATTTATATTGGCATTTTTTTGGTCTTGATACTACAATTTGTAAATGCTTATCTTCATCTTTGTATATGATATTAATTTAAAGACAAAAAGGTTATCATTTTATTCCTATTATTTTGAAACCTTAGTAATTTATTATAGAATATTTATATATAATATAATTTAACACTTTATTGTATTCCATTTCTTTATTAGAATAAGATGTTTACATCACATAGTAATTGGATTCTAAAAACATAAAAAAAATTGATAGTTATCTTCAAAAAAACTTGATGACTAAAAAATATTTCAAATTTTTATGAAGATAACTATCAAAACAAAACTCATCTATACATATATATATATATATATATATATATATATTCTTCTAGTAGGCAAATGAGTAAAGTTCTTCTAATAAAATTTTATAGTTTAGAATTGGACAAAAAAAACAAACTAAAATTTTGCTGTTCAGACAAGTACAAACAAAAATTGTTGAATTTCAGAATCATACATACATAATCTTTCCAAATAGATTATCTTTCCTGAAAAAGTTATAATTTTAATTACTCAATTTTATTTTCATTATTTTATTTCATTTTATTTACTTTTACCTTGTATTCCAAAAATCACTTGAACTATTGCTGCAATGATCAAACAATTTCATTAATCATCCTAATTTTTGCAGTTATTCTCAAGATGAAGTTAAATCACCTCTATCAATCAAACCAAGATATATATATATATATATATATATGCACACACTTTTATATGTATGTGTATATATATACGAATGAGTGATCGAAGCCTCACCAATGATTCACGCAAGACTCAGAACTGAAAAGGGCAACACATTCTTTGCTATTCTTCTGTAACAACGCAGGTGATGCTTCCAGCCTTGTAACACACCACTCTAGCAAAACTAATCCATGCTATTTACATACAAACTGGGGAGGATGTCTTTACAAAGACTGATCTCTTCATCAAAGAGTTTCTAGCCCACTGAAGATTCATTATTCAGTATTTGTTGTTGAATTGCAACGTTTCCACACACATTTGTGAGGTACTCAAGCTATATCCCGGCTGAAAAGGAGCAGTGTGCTTCAGAGCACCGTCTCGATCACTTTCTCCAGTCTCACAAAATGACTAAGAGAGGCTTCCAGACATTGCCGTTCTCTAATGAGCGATGGATCCATCACCCGTATCCGCTCATCAGCCACAAGCACTCAACAGGCAGTTCTAGAGCTACAGGTGTTCTAGTATCAGAGATTTCAGTAAGCAAGTAAAAGTGCACTCCGCTAATCGTAAGGTGCGTTTGGTGTGCAAAACGCAGCTGCACAATAAGATTCAGACTAAATTGTGAGAAACTTGATTGCATTGAATACAAGGATTCCTGTCTGAGCAAAAAGAATGTGGCGGAAGATTTTACGAGGACGACCGGCTGCTCTGGGTCGCCTTGACGAGCTCATCGACCTTTACTCAGAATCGAATCTATCTCCTTTTGACACGGCCAAACCACCACGCACTAGGATCCTTCACTGAAGCATGCGCATCGCCGATTTTGCTTTCGCAACACACTCTCTTACCGGACGTCGTCACCGGCTCGTGGGTGACGGCGCTGGTGGTGCTCAATTGCAAGGCCTCGGCGCGTTCAGCTGTGATTTCCGCGCGACCGTACCCACACAGCGGGAAATGCGACAAAGTTGTTAGTAAGCTTTGGTGCAAGAGTTCTGAGAGACCAAAGTGGAGTATCAACGGATTGGAACCTGCAGTGGTCTGCGAGGAGCGGAGCCGACTCGATATCGTCACTGAAGAGCACAGTGAGTATGTTCTAGACGATTGGCACCCCTCTCGTGATGCATTCGCTGGAGTGGTGGGTATCTGCCAGTATGAAGATCACCGCATTTTTTTGAAAAAATAAAATTTGTTTACAACATTTAGATATCATGCCTTCTTTCTCTGTCATGCCTGTCCGGAAGCTTCAATGATCACGTTGGATATGACGTGATCTGCGAAGGTTAGAATGCCGTGGAATCCCATCTTCACATTATAACCGCAGTAACCCTACGACCTTAACGTCTGCAGAACAAGCGTTTTTATGCTTTTTGAAACGACCAGCAGCAGTCTTTCGGTCTCTGCGAGATATGCATGAACACATTTATGACCACCGCGCAGCAATCGTTCATTGCGAGAATAGGCAACTGGGATACGGATTCTTTCTTACGAAATTATTTTCTTTTCCCCAAAAAGATTGATCCTTCTTGATGAATATGAGCTGAAACAATTGCAGGATTCAACATTATATTACACGGAAAAGCTATTAATGTCATTTCTATTCCTGTGTACTTTAAAAAAATACACGAATGCCTTGGTGTCAAAGCTAGTCATTTTCTTCTTGTTTTCCTTGTATTATTTATTCATTTATTTATTCCCAGAAAAAGTGACGGATGCTGAAATTACAAAAATGGAACCAACCTCTACAATCAGTTCACAATTTGATTAAATGACACTTAGCTTCAAAAAAAAAAAAAAAAAAAAAAAAAAAAACATTCTTATTTAAATAAAGTTAAATGCAAATCAAGCGGGTATCACACTTCCCCAGAGTCGAAACTTAAAACCCTGAAAAAGGCATCATCAATATTAAAAATAAACAAGTATCCTCTCCCCTCTCCGTTTTAATTTAATGAGTTGCCATTCACATAGTAGTACATGGGAAGAGTTGGAAACGAGCACCGTTCATTAAAAACTTCGGCCAACTGAGCATAACTAGAGAAGTATTTGCTCCTCTGCTTCGTTCACAATGCTTTGTGGATATTTTACTGGGGGTAATGAAATATTTTGAATAAAAGAAGAGTGAACGACACCAAACCTTTGTGTCGAACCGTACTGTAACCAAAGATAATTCTGTCCCTTTTTGGTGAAAGTCGATTCAATCTTATCCTAACCGCCACAAGTGCAATCGTCAAAAAATGTACACCAGTGGGTTCAGCACCAGTGTATGATGCTTCAGAGAAGGACGAGATACTGCTTCCTCTACGGCCTTATCTTTACATCAAAGTTGTCGCCTTCGCCGCTTCAAAGGTTTCCTAGAATACCTCTACTTATGATCCTTCCCTGGAGGCATCACAAGAGGCTAGTTGTCTGTTATGCCATGCGACAACTTCTTTGTATGGAAGATCGCCACCGAATACGTCGAGTGCGCTTCCCACTGTGACGTCCACAACCCCATTACCTGCGGCTTTGATACGCTCAAGATCCGCTAATGTGTTCACCCCTCCTGCATATGTGCATGGAATCTGTAGCACACCACATTGAGAGGCGTCAGTTTAGGGAGCCATTGATGTGTACTTTGCTCCTGAAAAAACATGATACATCCAAGACCATTTTATCGAATCCGAAAAAGCGCATATCACCGAATGATCCGAATTAATCACATTGAAATGATGTCAAATAGTAAAATCACTGAAGAACATGTTCACTATTCACGTTTTCCACTATGCACGTGAGTCGTTGATCAAGAGGTTGAAAATGAAAAATTGAAATGCCATTTTGTGCTAGCTTTTGAAGGGCGGTCTAAGTGATGCAATCTAGTTTAGCAGTAGCGTACGATTTCTTACCGGTGAATATTTTCCAAGTATCTTTACAAGTTCATCATCAATCCCAAGCCTGCAAGATTTGCTCCACTTAGTCGGTTCAATCCTAATTCAAGATCCTAATGCAATCCTCAAATTGCCAACGATAACTTTAAAATAAATCAAACTAAATGAGCAGCTAAACTTGCCCACTGCTTAGGTTCCATAATGTTTGAAGGCTTTTAAACCCTTAACTAGACTATAGTGGTAAAGTAAAGTTCAGAGCTTAAATCAATTATTTGGAGATGTAACGTTTACTTAAATTAACTATTATATGCAATCAAATAAATAGAGGAAGAGACTAACACTGAACATATTATTGCATATGTATAATCTATTTCATACAAAAAAGACCTTCCAAAACCGAACTCAAGGTCAATTTGTTGATTCTGAACAGGAAATCTATGTCTCAACAGAAACTAACCTTTTCCCTTCCACGTCAACGCCATGCACTAAGAATTCGTCTGCAAAAGCAGACAGCATAACTAACGTGGCCTCGTTTACAACGAGGTCGCTAAAACGCTGCCAGCGGTCTGTTACAACCATATATTGACCATCCTGTTCACAAAAGAAGCATACCACACCCTTTCAACTATTGCTTGTCAAGACAATTAAAACAGGAAGTTGGGGGGGGGGGGGGAGCATTTTAAAATCTGTCCTTGAGAAGCAACATACAGCCGCCAATCGCTCCAACAAGACTTGAATAGATAATCAATAATGACAATAAGAAGGAAATAATAAACAGAAAGATGAGGCACGTTGAACAGGCGATACCTTCTTTCGACAGCTCAGATCTAACACCAATCTGTTTTTCCCTGTCAACTTTACTAACTGCTTCAGCCTCTCGTCGTCCATTTGACCGTCTCTGAAAACAAACTGCATGAAGCGTAACATAAATCCTTCTAGCACCTACTAAATCTAATACACGCAGGAAAAACATGCAAATCGTCTAGACAGACAAGCCAGAGCTCTTAACAAAGTACATATGAACAGAGGAATGTATTCCAAATATTCCTGGCAATAGCACATGAATTACAAAATGATGAAATATCAATGCAAGGATCAAGCAGAAGGGCAAGGGAACGTTGACATACGGACGTGACAATGACATGACTTGCTCCAGCATCCAAATATCCCCTCGCATTATCAAGATTAACACCACCACCCATTTGCAAACCTCCTAAAAATCAACCAGAATCAGAAACAATTGCCATTAGCCATCCTCGGCGTACCATCTGCAGCACTTGATACAACATTGCTCTTGTCTATTCACCTCCAACTGATGACCAGAGGAATGAAAATCGACTCCACTCACCAGGATAAGCTTTCAGGGCTTCTAAAGCTGCGGCATGGCTGGCTGGGTCGGCACCAAGCATAATAACGTGGCCGCCTAGTAAGCCGTCATTCTTATACATTTCAGCAAAAGCTCCTGCGGATAATTGTGACTCAAAGTTTGTGATCAAAGCAGCAGCATTGTCTGAATTACCATCGTCTGGCAGGTCCCGCAATGTGGATCCTACAATTTGCTTCACTTTACCCTACATATGAAGTCGGCAACAAATCGTCCAAGATTCAATCGTATGCAAGACATTTTGCTTTCAAAAAGAGAACGCAAAACCAGACCCATTTGCAGCTCCCTTGGAAAACCTAAAACCAGACGTCAGCGATGAATAGAGCTACAATGATTATATTTGACTACATTATGGCGATCAATCTTCAAATTTTTACAACCTCTTCTAAGAATCGTCCACACTGAAAGGGTGATGACAGTTGGATTTAAAATGAATGAATCAACCACCTCAAAGGAACAACAAGAAATATGCTCTAGACCAGCTATAGCTTTCACGATTTCAGATTGCATGACAAACCTTGTGAATGTCGATACACGGTCGAAATTTAACAGCTCGCTTACCCTCTTGGACCGTAGATACTTCAGCACTTACTGCACCTGCCACTCATCCAATACTTGACCTAATTAGCCCATTGTCTTTCATTCCACCTCAAGTTAGTTACAATCCAAACAAAAAAAATGTATACTGTATACTGCTCCTTCAACAACGTAACAAAAACCAAGACATACTAAAATCGGTAAGCTCCTCATACAAAACCGTCCCCTTCAGCGGCGGGAGAGAAGCAGCAGCAGCAAAGCAACCACCCGCGACCTCAAAGCCACCCACACACAAAAAACCTCCATCTCATCCAACTCCAACCTCTAAACCCACAAGGCAATCATCGAAGAACCCACAGTCCAAGCAAAGACTCACACAAAAACAGACCCAACAAGAAAAGACAAGTGCAATCAGGGATTCTCCGCGCTTCTACTTCTTCGCTTCCCCACCTCGCACAGTCAGTGGAGCTCTCGGGCGCATTGCAGGGGCTGTGACGACGGCGTTCAGCAGGCTGGGCATGGCAACCTGCGAGACTCTGCCATGAAGGAGTTGCATGGTGAACTCCAAATCGTGCTGCTCCTCCTCCTTCTCAACCAGCAATCAATCTAACTCTTCAGTCTCCGAAACCACACTGTCTTTATGTGTCTCTGTCACTGTTACTGCACCTGGATGGAGATTCCGCTTTGTGGGTCGGCACGGATTTAGCGAGCAGATGGAATCAATCTATGGGGCTTAAACCCTGTCTGTCCCTGAACCCCCCCCCCCCTCCCCCTTCTCCCTGCTTCTCCACCACAATGTACTGAGGTTGGGGACATCTAATGCACTTGGTCGTAAACAATATGATGTTTTGTGTATGATGCTTTCTTATGTGTTTTTTGTTTTGTAAGGTTATCTAATGTGGCCTCTGCACACCAACATCAAATTCATCTTCATTTATGTTTGTAGTTTTAATTACATTTTGTGCTATGTACAGATTGTTTAGCAATATTCATGCATGAGATTGTTGATTGTTTTTTCAGTGTAGTGGAATTCCTCACCTAAGACTTTCAATATTACGTTGTAGTTGTTTCATAGCACATATTATACTACACTCAATCCATGTCCTCATTTTAAAGAAAGGAAAGCCTCAATCTTGGCAATTTATGATTGTTTTCGGGCAATTTATGATTTGCGTGGGTCAATTAAATATATTTTTTTAATTTAAACATCATTATTTAGGTTCTATTGAAAAGCATGAGTGTTTTTTTTGTACGACTGGTTTTTTTGTTTGATCTTTTAATTATTTACATTGCCAATAGAATATATTGTTGCGATGCAAGCAATCTAAAAACCTTTTAATCTCTTAAGTTTTTACACATTCAATGAACATTTCTTGTCAAAAAATAACAAATTACATACTATTTACAAATTGTATTATTGTGACTTGCACAAATGGATCTTGATTGGGAGAATTGTTAAAAGCATGGTTTTAAGTTATATAATTAAAAAAATATTAGGATTGAAGAGTCTATTTGATTAATTAAGTATTTATTAATACATTTCTACCCACGTACTAGAAACATAACACATGTTGCTTTAAATAAGTCTTTAAAGCAACACTCTGGAGGCGAATTTCAATCGTTCCTTCAATATTAGTTAACAGCAAAAGCTGTAAGCTGTAGGATTATGATACATCCATGCACACTTCAGCTGAAACAATTGCGCGTTTCTCCTTTGAAAGGTATCTACGTCCACCCCATTCAGTGATAATCTAACTATCACCGACGTAGTTTCCACACTATACTCCTATATTATCATTGCGGGACATAAATTAACTTTCCGTTCAACAGTCAAGCATTTGAGGCGAGATGAGCTAAGAAACTATTTTGTCATGTTTACATTTCTCAAAAATATTTGAACATGCATGAAAAAATCCGCATATGTAACAAAATACTGATACAAGAGCGTCGATGCTCCAAAACCTACACGATTGTGTTCACAAACACCCTTGCTTCTGATCACTTCAAACAGCTACAGGTGCGGCCTGGTTGTCTGATACACGGTTTTCAGCAGGAATCTCTGTGTATTCCGAAAGAATAGCCCTAAACTCGGCGCCGGACAAAGTCTCCTTCTCAAGCAGAACCTCTACAATCTTGTCCATGGCCGTGCGGTTGTTCCTAATGTGACCCAGTGCGACTTCGTAGGCCTCGTCAGAGATAGCCTTCACAGCCTTGTCGATGTCCTCAGCCAACTTCTCGGACATGGAGTTACGTGCCATCATGCGCATAATCATATCTCCTCCCTGGGATGAAGGGTCCATCAAAGCCCATGGGCCGATGTCTGACATACCGAATACTGTGACCATCTGCAAACAAAGCATAAAACTCAAAAAGCTTTCGTGATTTGCAGAATAAAGAATAAAGAATAAAAATAAAATAAAAAATCTTCCAATACCGTGTGCCTGTGTTAATCAATGCGGCTTAGAAACTTAAACAATGAAACCCTACTTTGGGGACGCACCTGCTTGGCCATAGAAGTAACTTGCTGCAAATCACTGGACGCTCCAGTCGTAACTTCAGCATCACCGAAGACAACCTGCTCGGTAGCCCTACCACCAAGAGCACCAACAATACGGGCAAAGATTTGCTGCTTTGAAATCAAAGTCGGGTCTTCTCCGGGAATAAACCAGGTGAGACCACGGGCCTGACCTCTAGGAATGAGGGTGACCTTTTGCACGGCGTCGTGTCCGGGAGTCAAAGTCCTGCACAGAATACACAGTACATACACTTCAGCAAACAGAAATCAAATGGTTTTGACCTAAGTGAAGATATCACTTCACAGTTATTCCAACTACAAAGAACCAGCAAAAGCCACCACTACATAGAAAAAACTGCATATATGAACAAAAACCATACGGTACATCCCGAATTGTACAAGTTTCTTACCCGCAGATAGCATGGCCGACTTCGTGGTATGCAACAAGACTCTTGCTCTTGCCGTCCGTCATGACGGTACCTTCCATCCCGGCAACGATTCTGTCAATTGAATCGTCAATCTCCTTAGCACTGATGGCTGTCTTTCCTCTCCTTCCGGTCAAGATAGCTGCTTCGTTCAACAAGTTGGCCAAGTCAGCTCCACTGAACCCTGGTGTCCTCATGGCAATGATATCCAGAGACACATCATCGGCGAACTTCTTGTTACTAGCATGCACCTTGAGGATGTCAGTCCTTCCCTTCACGTCCGGAACATCCACGGAAACCTGTGCCACGTCGTCTCCACATTAAGAAACTAACATCTTGCAAGTTAGATACACCATGAGGATTGAAGATTGTTCAAATTTAAATCATGGTTTCATGACATTACCTGTCTGTCGAATCTTCCAGGACGAAGCAAGGCAGCGTCGAGAATATCAGCCCTGTTGGTGGCAGCAATGACAATCACACCAGTGTTTCCTTCGAAACCGTCCATCTCCGTCAACAACTGATTCAACGTCTGCTCACGCTCATCATTGCCTCCTCCAATTCCAGTTCCTCTCTGTCTTCCAACGGCATCAATCTCATCCACAAACACAATGCAGGGAGCATTCTCTTTCGCCTTCTTGAACAAGTCCCTCACACGGGAAGCTCCCACTCCCACGAACATTTCCACGAACTCAGACCCAGAGATGGAGAAGAATGGTACTCCAGCTTCCCCAGCGATGGCCTTCGCCAATAGAGTCTTTCCGGTACCGGGTGGTCCAACCAGCAACACTCCCTTTGGGATTTTAGCGCCCACTGCTGTGAATCTCTCAGGCCGCTTCAAGAACTCCACAACCTCCATGAAGTCTTGCTTGGCCTCGTCTACTCCCGCAACATCTTGGAATGTAATGCCCGTGTTGGGCTCCATCTGGAACTTGGCCTTGGACTTCCCGAAGGCCATCGGGTTCCCAGGACCGCCAGGTCCCATACCACCTTGGGATCTACGAGACAAGAAGAACAGACCTCCAACGAGCAACAAGGGGAAAGCCAAATTTCCGATGAGGTTCAAAATGACAGAGCCAGAGTCCTCTTGTGGGCTGTGTGCGGCAAAATCTACATTCTTCGATCTAAACTTCGACAACAATTCGGAGCTAGTTCCGGGGAGCTGCACGCGTACGCGTTGCACTCTGTTGCCCAATTCAGGGGATACAGCCTCCACAATTGCTATGGTCCCATTTTCATACAAGTCAACCTTCTTCACACGGTCCATATCCAAATACTCCAAAAACCTCGAGTAGGACATCCTGGAAGACGCTACGCCCTGCTCCTCAGCTGCTGAAGCTTTCTTCGCGATAACAGCAGGGAGAACTGCAGCCAAAGCTCCCGCTACGCCTTTCAACATACCCCGCTTCCCCATATCCACATCTTCCACGACTCCATTGTCGTTCTTCCCACTAGCGCTAGCAGTCACCCTACGCGAAACTGATGTCTTACGAGGACCAGCTAGGGGAGCAAATTGGGTCGACGATTCCTGGCTACCCAAACCGCGTCGGAGAGACCCAGGCGTGAGGAGGGACGCCATTGTAGCCGCTGTTGCAGACGCCATAGCTAACAATCAAGAAACCAAAAATCTTGCAACACCAAATATGCACAACGTATCACTACACTGAATCCCCTTGTGTCTATGCAACCGAGGGATGGGATTCCAAAGCGGTGAAACTCTCAATTTCTCACCCAAATGAGCCGGGAGTGATATATCTATACAAACCCACATGAGAGATTGAATGGAGTAGGATTTTTTCGACGAGGATAACACAGATTCATCGCGACGTAACCTGGAACGAGTGGACGTGGCAGGGGGGCGCTTTCGATCTCAGGAGCCAAGGAAGGGGGCGATTCTGCGCGGAACAGTCACCTTGCACTGCTGGACGCAGAGCTCCCCAGTGCGGAACGTGCGACGAGGTCGACGCGAGGGGGGGGGGGGATTGGGTGGTGGGACGCTACTATGGCCACGCGTTGCTGTGTTCTCCAGTGCCGCGCTCTCTTTGGCGCCTTGCGTCCACGCCTGCTGCTTCTGATTCTGTTGATTCTTCCCTCCGTCTCTCGCTTTTTTCCGCACTCCCCCTCATGTCAGCCATCTCGTCTCCCGCCGCTTCTTCGCGGCATGCCGCTTTTTTTCCGCCATGCGACTCCCTCCAGAGACCAGAGAGACGTGCGTCGCTGGCTTGGATCGATCTCAAACCTTTCTGCACTCCGCATCAGTCGCTCCACGACACAAACCCCCGCTCGCCCACCAAATTACAATCACTCTTGCACGCGTCCTTGTTCGTTGGTTGGATGGTTGGATGGTTGGCTTGTCCGTTGCCCATGAAGTGACGTCGATGCGTGGATGCGGTTGTTTCTCAGCGCTCCATCGGCGAAGTGCGGTGGCGAATCAGGTTTTAAAACGAATTCGGGCAACAGAGTTTGAATGTCCAGGGATTGATTATGCGCATCCTTTGCTTGTGTGTTTGTTGGTTTTAGGGTTTGGAACTCGATTGTAGAAGCTCTTCGTGATTGCTTAGCTTTTGGTAAAACTCTTGAATATGTGGTTGCGTAAATTTTGGGATATTCTATCATGTGTGACAGGTAAATGTTTCTTGAATGTGTTTGTTTCAAAATCAAGAAACTTAAATTAAGCAAAAGAGTTTTGAAAATGTTTTATAACATGTGTTTTTGTCTATGAAATATACCATAAAATATTAACAAATTATGATGTTTCCTTAAAAAATTACATGTATTTTTTAAATGGATGTAAAAACGCAATAAATTGCTAAGAACCAAAATAAATGAATACATAAATATCATCTATGTGTATATGAGGTTTGTTAATTGTAGTAAAATGTTTCTTTTTTGCTGATTATTTTAATTTGAAATTAGTAATTAATAAGTTGTATACATAGTATAACACAAACTAATTAGAAAACATTTTATAGCCTTATTATTTAATACCTGATATAAATAAATTCAACCAACAATATAAGTTAATCTCGTTTTTTAAAGAATTTGTATATATTTTAATATAAAGAATATTTTGAAAGACCATAATGATTACATATCATATAGTTGTCATGTATAAGATGATAGTATATAGTTGTCATGTATAAGATGATAGTATATAGTTGTCATGTGCGTGTTCCACTCTTCAACTACAAGGTATGCAAAACTAGTGGAAACCCATGTCATTGGCCACAAAAAAGTTGTAAAAGTTTAATAATTTAACTTATAATAAAAACATTAATTATTTAATTGTATTAATTAAATACTAATACTGTTAAAAAGTACTATTCAAAGCATTATATATATATATATATATATATATATATAACACCACCATAATTTATTCACTCCAGTTCACATGTGCAAGAGAGACATGAGAATCCCTCCTAAAATAAAACTTCATGTCTTCGTAACTCCATAGGTCTTGATAGACGCAGATTAAGTTGTGAATTTTTTTTTGCAGATTTCAGTTAATTTGAGAACATTTAGATAGTGTGACTGACCACATGGTTATTCTTTTACACCCACATATTCAATTCACTGTGGTTAAGTCCAAGTTAAGCTGGGTGTAAAATTTTGATTCAAATTCTGCATTGCCATGGAGAGGTTTCAACAAAATTAATAAGAATGCACAGTGGGGGAGCATTCAATTTACATTTGAGCATATATGCGGCAGGATGTAGGCACATGACTACGAAGAAATAGCACTCATTTTTCAACAACTAATTCGCTGGTACCTCCTCTAATGACAAATAAAAGTTACCAATTTCCGTGATTCTGGAACAATAAGTCAAATTAAGGAGGCACTATAGATGGTGAATGAGAGAACAATCAAATCTTTGATAATCTTTTTCATCAGCATTTGACACCAACACAGGAAGCCCACTCCCAAGCGCTGATTTCGTTTCTTTGCGTTGTCGATAAGCTTCTATAACTTCTAACCTCATTCGCTCGATTGATGCTGCTTTAGGTTCTTTCGTCTTAATCTGCATTGACACAGAGAACCCAAATGTTGTTTACCAACATGAAACTGTCATAGCATTACTATGCGTGTCTCTCTTTATGGCATATGTTGTATAAAGTTGATACGAAGTCTTCTCCTCGTCCGAATAACCCATTGAAAAAAAACACTTGCTAATGCCTCAAATTTTGCAACCCCTGAACACTTTCTTTGTATCTTAGGGAAGCATGGGGTTGAATAGAATGAGGGAGAATACTTTTGCACTTGAGATTACTCAAAAGAATGAAACAATTGAAGTTGCATTTCTTACCCTCAATCGGTGCCACGCATTCTGTACAATTTTGCTATCATGTTGATCGTGTGAACTTTGAGCATCCACTCAGGATATTAGCCGCTCTTGGGAGCATTGCCGCTCTAGAGCTCATACGGAAATGGGATTCCTAGTTTCAGCGCCTTTCGTCCACTTCTGTTTCAAATTCCTCTATTCATCACCAACTGCTCCTCCAATTTGGTACCCATTTGCCGGGTGCACAGACAATCTTCCCACATGAGCAACATACTCAAGCAGAGCCCAGCGATGGAGATACGCTTCAGAAACAAGAACAGGCTCCCAACTCTCACACAAAAGCTTAGCTTCAAATTCCATCGGGGGGGATCAGTATCAGTCCATTTGTTAGTCGCATCACTGGGACTCATCTTCATGCTGAGAGACTCAATTATTTTCATCTTCTGCTCCACCCTCATCCTGCAGCCAATTAACTCCCGCAGGAACTGGTGCAGCCAACGCCATCATCAGAAGAAGAGAACATCAATCTGCCTTTGCCGCTCCCTCGTCTCACAAAACCCATCCCATCAATCAGCACGGGAACCTCGTCCCACTCCCCAATTCCTCAATTCCCCACGCAGCAACCCACCACCTCGACAGTTTCTTCAACAATTCAAATACTGCAATGGACAGTACTAACTACAGTAACAGTTTTCACTGCAATCACACGAGCAACCACATATTGTTCAAGAAGCATGAACTCATGAGAAAGAGCTCGAGTCACAATCGAACAAAGCAGCAGCAGCAGGAATATTGTTTGCGTCTTCATGATTGTCTGGCAAAGGAACTTACTGTTATTGGTGCAATTCTAGCGTGTTTCTGTTGAATTCCTTCCGACTGCATCGTTGAAAAATTTATAGTTTCACTTGACAGATTGTTCCACTTCAGAAAAGTACGCTTCCTCAATTGCTTTATGCATGGTGCATAAATCCAACTGAAAAATGCTTCATCAAATTGGTATTGCACAGGTTGCACAGCATCCATCGACGCTGGTGGTTTTAGCAAGCACTTCCTCACATCTTACTGGCGGTCGAGCTCGTTTCTTTTGAAACTTCTCCACGGGTGATGTGTCGCGAAACCCACGTCAATAATTGAGTTATACTGGTATACCATGCTTGTCAATACTTATCCTACAATTGTCTGAATCAAGTATTAGATCTTCACGATTACTGAATGTGCACGTGGTCACGCAATGAACAAAGGCTTTATTTGTGCAATCAATTCTGAAGCAGCGAATAGTTCCTCACTCTCTTCTGCCGTGGATTGAGCTTCCGCATCCACCTGCGGTACATTTGCAGGTTAGTCTCATGTTTCCATGGAGTTCTAGGGATGTCAACACAATGTCGGAATTCCATTAGAAATATTGGAACAGGAGCCTAATGATGGTTGCCTTACCACTGCTGCTTCGAGAGTTGCCATAGCCGTCTTAAGTCATTTCCTACAATTGGATATTGTCAAGCTCGACTCCGCCACAACATGTTCCTAAAACCAAGCCCTCACTGCAATTATTCTTGAGAATCCAATCTTTTCGGGTAACATTTTCTTCTCTCTCTCGCTCCCTCATCAAATAATTTTGCTAAAACACGAAAGTAAACAAGCAAACCAATTGAACATTAAATCATGTCCACATCCGTTCAGTGTAGGAAATCGAACAAACTCTTCGAGACATAGCAAAGCGTGGAAAACTAGTTGGTTCACTTTGCGGAGCGGTGTGATATCCAAAGGGTTCGGTACCTGTTGTTTGATGTCGAAAGGGTCAGCATGAGACCTTCGCATGTTCTTGGCCTTAATGCATTCTTTATCGGCCTCGCTTTGGTAAGATTGTAGCTCTTTCATCAACCACTTGCAGACCCCAGTCTTAATTTTCAGGTTCTTCATATTCGCCATGGATCTTCTGGAGAGAGAGGAGGGTTGGAGGAGAGTTGGAAGAGCTTCAGCGTTACCTCTAGTTTCGGCGTTGAATGTGTTGAGGGTGTCTGCCAAGTTTCCTTAATGAGTTGTTGCGGTTACGTCCCTTTGGCATTTGTTATAACTTCCTATTACTCATCCCACACTTCAGAACCACCATATTAAAAACACCATTTAATTAACTACAACCTTTCTGCCCACTCCAAAAACAGATCAAAAACTTCAAGTTTGGATTCCTCAAGCGTGCGCGGACTAAGGCGTTGGCAAAGAAGTGGGTTTTCAAAATCGCAACCACTTTGCATTCCCGAAGTATTAAGAGTTTCCTCTCAATAGCCATTCAGAATTGATTTTTGTCTCTTTATCTTATATCTATGTTGTCTTATATAATAATAGATGATAATATAGATGATTACAAGTACGTGTTCCATTGTTCAACAATAAGATATGCAAAACTATCTATTATATGTAAGACCAGTTGTGTGTAACACAAAGAGACACAGAAGTCTTCTGATTAGATATGAAGAAGGAAATGCATAGAACTTGGAAAACATGGAAACAAACATGGGAATTAGAGAACATGGATGAACAAAACAATAAATAAATGTGCCAAAGATTGTAGGGCCAAACAATATGGGTTTTTGGTAATCTATTATATAAAACAACTTGGATATAAGACAAAATAACAAAGAAGCTTTATCATTGGTCAAACATGGGGAATAAGACAATATGAATAAACGAGAGAATGGATGGATGGCGATACAAAAGGTTTTTGTGCCCAATAACACAAGTTTTTGGTAGTAATTTATAAAATAACTTATAATCCAAATTATAAGCCAATTGTCTATATCAATCCAAAAATGCAAAGAATTATATTTAGAATCATAATGAAAAAAAATTAAAATACAAAAAAAATTGTAAGATTATCAATACATAAAAATTAACAAATAAATAAATAGGAATAGGCAATGACTTGCCTTACGATGTAAGACTATATAACAAAGCTAAAAAAAATTGAAGTTTTTTTTGCCTTAGATCACTAAATTAATTAATAACTAGAACAAACTTATAGAAATATATCATAAATTTATTTAAAACATTTATATCAACATCTAGTTATAAACAACTACTTGTATTCAGATTTCAAAATAATAATAATTAAAAATTAGAATATATTTATAATACATATATTTTAATATTTAGTTTAAGATAATATTTAATATTTAAATTAATTCTAAAATAATATCTAATTTAATAATTTATTAATATTTAATGTGATTTTCTATTTTTATGCTATATTTATAGATCTATAAATTACATGTTATTTTTACTATATCATATTATATAATTTAAAATATAGATTAAAATATAAAATTATATATTATTTTATATTAAAATTTAGTATAAAAAATATTATGTGTATGAATTTTTTTTAATTTTTTTAAAATAATAATTATATATAAGACCACCTAATACAAGGTTTTGATATAAGTTTTGCACTTATTCAAGATAAACCCAACATTAAAGACATTCTTTGTAATAGTTTTGAAAGAAATGATGGCATTGACCAAGTCAACATTGACAAATAAGAATAAAAGATTATAATGAAAATGAAAATAAATAAAAATTATCTAAAAATCAAGAAGAAGCTTCAAAAAAACGAAGAAACAAAAAAAAACAAAAACAAAAACAAAATGTAGATGTGATCAAATGATGTAAATCCATGTGAAATAATTTTATATTAATAAACTTAGAGTATATCAATTCCTTTAATATAGTCACAAAGCAAGACAAAGATTATTTTTGGATGCAAAGAGAAATTACTATACAAGATGTCGTGCTTAAGACATTTTATTGATAAATTTAATATAGATGTAATATTGATATGTGGATACTATTCATCAGTTTTGTACTAAGGCCTTAATGCATTAGAAGAGATCTTTTATATAGGTTTATTAAGATAATGTAGATGTAGTATATTATGATTGATGTATTTACAATTGCTTATGTAAAAGACATTGATATTCATAAATTTTTGGATCAAACTTGATATCAATTAAGTTGTTAAAAGAAAAATTAACAAAAATAAAACCCTTAAATTAAGCAATTAAACATGCAATCTTCACAATGATAAACTTAATTGTACATATAATTGTTTTAACAACAATGATAATTATGGATAAACCAAAGCTGAGTCAAATTTATTTTTATTTATTTACAATTTGTATTATTTAACAAATAATTCTTTTTGCCCATCAGATCATTTTAGAAATAGAATTTTTTTTAATTAACCTATGCATAAATTGATATATTATATATGTTGAATAATTGTATTTTTATAAATCTTTGTTGGATTAAAAAAATCATGCTATTGTAATAGATTTAGAACCTTAATTAAGCCAAATTTAATAAACATGTTTGATTTAGATAATTATTTTTTTCTCTATACAACAATCACTAATTTAGACATTTTGACTAGAAAATAGTACTCTTTTAATGAAATTATGCAATTCTATTATACTTTGAAAGATGTTTTATATTTTTTAATCAAATAATTAATAAAATATTGTCAGAACTTCAAAAGAAACAAAACATAGGTTATTAGTTTTTGATGTTTTTTTTTGTCTTTGATAGATGTTTTTTTGTGTAACAACAATCTAATATTTAAACGAATAATAGGTATATTTGTAAAATCTTAAAATTGCATTTGAAAAATCTATTTAAAACTATATATTGTAAATTTTAATATTATTAAAATTATAATCCTAAAAAGTACATAAAAGATATCTCTAAGATAATTTTATTTATTTAATTTCAGAACTGTAAGGGATATTTTGAAAAGAGGGGAGATTTTACGTAATTATTGTTTTTAAGCTATATACACATAATAAATAAATAAAGTTAAATATTATGAATATGTGCGATTTTAATAAAATTTGCAATATTATTAGAGTAAAGACCATAAAATACATTTAAAATTTGTCTCATCCTAACTAATTGTCACGCAAAAATAGTTTTCAAATAATAAATTTAAAATTTATACTAATTCAATATATATATATATATATATATCATTTACAGTCAAAGATATGTTGAACTTATTCTTTACCACTACTGTTTTTTTAAATAAAATGTATGTCATGCCAAAAAGAAATAGAGCCAAAACTTGTATCTTTCTCTTTATTTTTAGTTTATTATATTGTGTGTTATAAATTGAAAGCCAATCCAAAATTTATTAGCAATTAAGGAGAACTTAAACATTTATGTTTGATTGTCCTTCTGTAATGCTATGTCTCTATGATTATACATATTTTGTTAGAATATTATATTATTATTAATGAATGAAGAGATTCCTTAATTCAAATGTTGTGATGGGCATTGAACTCACAGTTGTGCTGCGTATGTCGATTTAAAGAATAATAATTTTTCTGTGCAAACGATTGCGTTCAGATCTCAGGAACTGGACGAACACTCTCCAAACATCTGTAGTGGCCATTAAAACAAACAATCCTGCCTGATCCTTCAAATCCTTCAGAAACACTAGCCCAGAGTGCTTTACGATTCTTAACTACAGAATGAAGACAGCTACATTTAACATAACGAATCACAATCTACTCTGGTCGAAGAGCACTCAGCATAGGAAACAGCCTAGTCTCCGTACCGAGTGCGCGAAATAGAGAATTGAATGCAAGGTTAATCCTAGAAATCGCGAGGGCTGTAAGAACAGTACCCAAAAGAGCTTTACAGCCGAGGTCATGGAGGCGTTGTGAATGTGGAAAAACTTGCTTGCTTTTACAAAATTGTACTTCTGTAATGTATAGCGACCAATGGTCGTGAGTGTACCGTTTTACAGCTGTGTTTAAGGGTTATGTAGAGGCAAAATTTATCGAATAAAAGTGTCACTTCAAGTCCAGGTGGATTTGTCAGCTATCAGAAACCTCCAGCAGATGAGAGTACGAGAGAGAGGGAGAGGAAGAGAGAAAAAAGTAACCAGAATTTTGGTGTACAAAAGTTTCCGAAGGTTGAAGACAACACCTTACTTCGGTAACAAAAAGGTATTAAGGGGCGTGGTAGAAACATGGTATCTGCTCCGCAAAATCTTGACCGAAGCGTGAATGGGCTTCACAGCCGAAGTCGGTTCGGCTGTGTTCTTCCTCGAGCGCCCCCGCGTGTGTGGTGCCCTCCCATTTTCTCAGACGAAGCGCCCACATCTTGACCAGAGCCTTCAGTTTCGTCTCCGTCAACTGTATCGCTGCTTGCCGGGTGGTGCCTGCTGTTGGGCTCCACGTCTTGGCCACTTGATGTTTCTATACTTTGATTCGGGTTTTCAGAGACACTAGGCAGGGCTAAGACATCGCTATGGATTGGACCCTGGGACCAGAGAGGCGGCCCTTGAGAAGACATGCTCAACGCCATTGAAAAAGAACTCGGCGGCGCCTTCTCCATCTTCACATCGGCGCTTTGTCGCTGCCCCAAATTCCTGTCCGTTTCATTTACCGCATATGTGCATCTCGACTGCCCAGGGGCTGGTGGAATCATATGCATATCTAAAGAACCCGGTTTGTGGCCCAGCACGCGATCGAGCTCGCTGATCACAAAGGAGGCTTGATTCCAGTTGGGCATCGGTGAGGGCAATGGCAGTCCCTGCTGCTGCCTCAATATTCTATCTACATCGCTTATGTGCGGTGGGAGCCGTGACGTCTTACTAGCAACCAGCGACTCCGCTTTCTGTACATCGGAAATGTGAGGAAGGAGCCGGTTGGTTCTCGGAGCTGGACTGCTCAGCTCTCCTGTCCGTTGTCGAAAAACCTTTTCCTTGTCCGGGGCGGTTTGAACAGGCTGCAGAAGTGAAACAGGGACAGGAACGGGCACGGGAAGCTGAGAAAAGTCTACTTGAATGTCAGGGGGCGTTGGTCTCGGCGTCCTGTCACCACCCCAGTTACTATTCTGCGCAGCCCTATCCTTCGGCGGTGCTTGTCCTTGAGGATGAGGCACTCTCGAAGAGTAGTGAGCTTGCACTTGGCTACAGATCTGCTCAGTGTGCGCTTGCAGAACCGACTGAAGCTCAGCTTGAAGCGACCGCGTTGCTTCGTGCACGTTTGCTTGCATTTGAGCACTAATCACCTGGAAATTCACAGTTTCACATAAAGAAAATGACATAATCAGAGCTCTCTCAAACAATATCCAACTCTACACATCGGAAACATATCATGAAGTAACACATACTTCAAGAATAGAAGTTACCAACCTGAAGCTGCAACCGAATTTGAGTAAAAAGAGATTGCATCTGGCCAAGTAGACGCTGATTACTCATGTCCACAACTTGCACTACCTGGTGAAATTATGCTGACGTGAGGTCGGGGAAAAACCAAAAATATAAAAAAATATAAAACAAATCTCATATCTAATTTCAACTTCAATGCATGACGAATGAGGACGGACGAGTACACGCGCACGCACACACCTGCTCATTAAGCATTCGCACCCGGTTCCAAATAGCCTCACTTTGCGCCCCAAGACGGGCTTCTAAGGAGGCTAAATTTGGAGGACCATCCCATTGCGCTGTGCTGCTCCGCTCCGCAACGGTTGGTTCATTGAAGCGGACGGAGTCCAAGGGTGGCGGTACATTGAAATGGATAGGTTTGATTGACTCTAGATTAGGTGGGTCGATACTGTGCACTCTACCGTCAGCTGTTGCTGGGGCTCCAATATGAGATGATATGGAAGCTCGTTTCCTTTTCTGGCCGGAGATAACTGGATTTTGGTCACCACCAGGCGATCCTGGGAAAAACAAACACATAGATCACTAATATCAGCAGAGATGCGAGATTCAATTCTAACTGGAGCTTGATACTGCGCATACAAATTGACGGTGCACAATCATATTGTGTAAGGTAACCACTCATTTCGCCCACGTGCAGTGTCTCAACGAAATTGTTCCCGCTCTCCAGGACAACAAAACAGCGCCACTAACACTAACCTCCGATTTGATATTTCAAAGGCTGCAGAGATTCTCCAGTTGTGGCACGAGCCTGAAGTCGTGCAAAGTCTGACATAGACCCGACACCATCTGAAGAGCCTACAGAAAATACAGTTTAAACCCCGCAAGGTAATGAGGTAAAAGAGCAGGTACCTGAATCATAAGTACTGAACTCGACAATTACGCACTCATTACAAATATATTCCCGACTAGTAAAATATCTGAAACTCGCAAGTTTCTACTCTAGCCTCGTATCTCACGAAACACGATTGACAGGGAACGTGTGGACATACCACCAGAAATTTGAGAAGGAGTCGCACAAGCAGCAGAAACAGATGGACCTGCTTGCTGGGGTACAGCGGCACTCTTATCAATCGCTGGTGCAGAAGAAGTGACATGAAAAGGTCTATCACTATCCACCTCAGACTCTGGTGTTCCTGTTTGTTTAAGGTCGGGGTCTAGAAAAGACACCAAAATATTGAAAACTTCTTCGTCCAATGCCCCAGGCAACTTGTGCTCCCTCCTTTTCTTCTCCTTCATCTTCCAATACGACTCCGCGTCTTCTTTTTTCTGCCAGTCTCGGACTTTCTTGTAATCAAGATAGAGACCTTTACTCCACCTGCTACTGCACTGTGCACCTGAGCGTGTAACACCATGGCTACGACAAAACTTGGAGATATTCTCCCACTTGTCACCGGCAGTGCCCACTGCACTCTTGGAAGCTACGTCATGTGCTTCTTCTTCCCTAGCCTTCAGGGCATTCGCAAGAACCACTGTCTCAGACCGAGTCCAGCGGTGCCCCACTGCATGTTCTTCCTCCCCTCCACCCTCCATTTATTTGAATGCTTCAATCGAATGCAATGATGTGGAGGTGACATACCATTCGGTTACAAAACCGTGACTAGCTTACCCTAAACTGAATAAGTCCTCATTCAGATTCAAATAGCTACTTCCAGCACCTCAGATTTTAATTCCACTGGCTTCAAAGACCTTGCCAGCACCGTGCGGCCTCTCAACGAACATGCTTTGAACAGAAATAAATACGTTGCCAGCTGACCCCATCGATGAATCACGTGATGGTTTGTCCAAATAAGCTGCAATGTGGGACTATGATGGACATTGTGAAAATACCAAGTTCGACAATGTTGAGATGCTTGTCTCAACTCTTCTGAAGGGAAGAATGTGCTTCGCGGAGTTGTAATTTGGGATCCAGGAGGAATAGTGATGAGGAAAGCGTACACGGATATCATGGCAAGGGAGGTCGATCCTGTACAAGCAACGAAGTTACAAAAATGATTCAGCAAGCCAATAGAAGCTCACGACCAACTTCCAGTATCACCAGAAAGATCAATAACAAACAACACTCTTGAAACCCAAGAAATTTTGTATTTGAGCAATTGCTATATCAAATATTGATTTAGGCAGAAGCAACAAAAGAGCACATAGCCTGAACCAGAATCACCCTGTCGACGAGTTGTATTCGTACAGATACAGAAGCATTTTCCTAAATCGTTCACAGAGAGATGCATACACTCAATATGAAGACTTCCACCAAGGTGTTGTCAAATACACGATTCTTAGACGTAAGATACAGGCCATGTTTTACGCCTGCATCCCCTGGCACATCCGCACTAGACCTTCTTGCAGTAACATACTTCGTCTAAAGACAAAGTTAATGCACGTCTGATGTACCCCTTGTAATATGAACAGAGCTCCCCAACATGTTATCCACTCGAACATAAAGTCGTGTTCCACAGTCGTCAAAATAATCACAAGAAATAAACACAAGAATAAAATAAACGATAAAACGATAAAACGATAACTAAAACTAAACGAAAACTAAACTAAACTAAACTAAACTCTTACGAATGGGTGAACACAACATGAAGATATTATATTTAAAACACCATAAATGACATTCTCAGATGTATTAGAGACAGAAAGTAGCAATACCCGTTCAGACAAAATTACCGGCTCTCACGACAAGCAGTACCTGAAAGCCTTGCAATGACAACAAGCTAGATGTGCGAGCATAAACTCATACAATGATGCTACGCGTGGTAAACAAAACAAACTATCACTTCGTACTCATCTAACTTTCAACTAGACTCCCGAAACAAGTTTTCAAGCTTGTTAACTCATGTACCCCTGCACACTTAATTTGCGATCAACGCCACAGGAAGCTATAAAAATCTAGAAAACTACACAGAGAAGAACCGCTCAAGGTTTGAGTTTTTCAGCGTCCACTGAAGCATTACGAAATGGTCAAAGGAAAGGAGGTAAAATTACACAAAATAAGACCCGGCTAAAAACATAAAAAGCATTGGGAATTTTCCAAGTGAAGCTCAATACACGGGATAATAACTACGTTCAGGATACAGTTGCCCTGAAAACTTTCTACAGTCTCGCTGATACGAAAACCCCTCACACCGAGTAATCACAGCAACATTCCCCGCCATCTCCCGGGCTTCCAAGCATTCCGAGCAACTCCAAAACACTCTCGCTCCACAGAAAACTCATAAAAAATAATGTAGCTCACTTGTGCACACGCTCATTCCGTCACGACCATCGCGCATCAACGCCAGCTGCCACGGAACTAACTCCCCGACGCTTCCGCTCCCACGCACAATTGCCTCCCGCCCCGCGAACCCGCGCTCCCATGCATCAAATGACTCCGTCGCAGGGAAGAACCCCGAAACTCCGGTTTGAAATCCAGGATCGCGCACTAGGGCATCTCGCCATCGTCATCCTCCAACCAAGCAGAGCAATCACTGCAGCAGCCCCACACAAAAACCAAAAAAATGATGAGCGAGCGTGAGTGAGTGATTCTTCCCTCCCTCCCTCCCTCGTCGTCCGAGCATCGCAGCCAAGACCCTAAACTCCCTTCGGAAAATCTTCGATTCTCCTCATACCAGGACGCCCCCTGTACGCAACCGCTACAGGATCAGATACGGGATTCGCGCGGATGGAAGACTTAGCGTCGCCGATAATCGCTACCTCCACGAACGAGGACTACGGACGACGGACGAGAAGTACCGTCCGGTCGACGGAAGCGGGAGAGAGAGGGGGGCTCATGGTATTCTTCGTCCAAGGGGAACAGGCGGTGGCATTCTGGTGAGCGACTTGCTCCCTCCCGCCTCCAGAACGGGGCGCCACCGGGTATCTCCCGTGCCGGGCATAAATGTCACGTGAAGGTACAGAACTGGGACGGAAAATGGCGCTGTTCGCACTGCATGCATGCATGGACGGGAGGAAGCGCGAGTCTGACGTCGTGAGTGGCTGAGTTGGCTGCCAGCGTGGCCCACGCCAGGTGGCCCACACCCAGGATCCTGGTCTTTCATTAAAGAATAGGGGGTTCATCTAATCTACCAAGAGCATTGTAAACTGAACACTTGATATGTTTATTTTTTGTGGAAAAAACTCTAAAATACATCAACAGAGTTCAAGAGTGAAAAATATGCTATCGTTTAAAATTATTCTTCCCTACAAATTATTTGATTTGAAGAACTATAATTAAATCACAAAAATTATAATTTGATGGCTTTACAAATAACATCCAGAATTATAATAGTTGATATCATGTGATTAAACACCATCTTTTTATTTATTTCTTTCCTTTGTCCCGTCATTTCAAATTGCCTTATGAGTTTCTTTAAATTTAAACTAATCCACCTGAATTTACTTATATTATGTCATAATATTGGACGTGCAATTGTCCAAATATGACAAAATAGATAAACTAACAATTGATTTTTGAACGAGAGAATAATATTTTTAGTAACAATAACAAAGATGTATACTTTTAATTTAATTCAATTGGATGTTCTGTTTTCTTTCTTCCTTTTTTCTTTGTTGAAAGGAATTATGTTCAAATGTAAATATGATTGATTAAAGAGATGGGACTCAATAAGTTGTGCCAAATGTGTTCTTTCTACCCTTTTAATATAAAATTTCATGCTTGAATGAATGTTACTTCCATTAATGAGTGAGTGAACACAACAATATATATCTTTCTGGTGGACTTAATAGAGTGAGTTGTGAAGAACTTTAATTTAAGTATTTTAAGTTTTTGAATACATTCAACAAAACTTCAAATTGTATCAATGATTCCACTTCTTATTTGTTAATCAAATATCATGAAATAATGTTTGTGGCTGATGTTAGCAATCCTAAGTTATTAACAGAATTTTGTGATAACATATAACTAACAAATGGATTAATCATTGTGTTTAATTAATTAATTTGCTTTTGATTCTTTCATGAATGTAAAGCAGTGTAACCCAAAACATATCTTTAATATATGCTTAACAAAGGAACAATTGCATGTGACAGTAGAATTGACAATGATTGTGCCACAAAAGTTATAAGTAAAAATATATTCTAAAAATAAATTCTTTTAACATTTGAAATACATTTGTTTGCTGGTTTAATGTTTAATATTAACAGCAATCATGTATTAAATATTAGCAATGGTTTATTTTTTATTTTTAATACTATTAACATGAACCAGCAATCAAACATTATTCTAGTCAAGGTTAAAATAGCATCATTCAATGCCACATTAAATATGTTGTTGATTTTAACAACCAACTTGGTTTTAAATTTGTGAATTAAATTCAAGTCGAAGCATTATATTATACCAAAACACTCATGTGTTAAATCAAAACCTCAAATTTACAAGCAGCTTGTATTTATTTATTTATTTTATTTTATTTAATGGAAAGTGGATATCAGATTGACACTAAGCATGACATTATATCTTCAAATGGATTGACAAATAATCTAGTAAATGGGGTTTTGAATTAAACTTATAAAGATTTTGTAGGTACAAAAGAAAAGTGGTTAGACAGACTATGTTGAAGGCACAATTTAGTTCTATTGCTATAATTCATATACCAATCACAATACTATTCTTCAAAATACATTTGGGAATAAAACAATTTCAACCTTTGGACTTGTTACTTGTCAATACAAAGTCATTTTTATTTATTTATTTTTTACAAATAAGAAGGCAAACAATTAGCCAAAATAAGAAAGTTTATGTTAAAAAATTTAATCACTTAAGTGAATTTTTATAATTCTATAAGTAAAAAGTTATTCTTAGCTCCCAAAAAATAAAATACCATGTAGAGCAAAATATACTATTTCATGTATAAAACTTTAAATGCAAATAAGCATAACATTTGAATTTATGTCGAAATTATATCCAGTAGTTGAAAAAACTGTTATCAAATTATGGCTACAAATTACATGAATTCATGTAAAATTGATTTGTTATACTTCATTAGAAATATTTTTTTATTGATTTATTTGATAGATATTAAAAAATAATAATATATATGTGTTCACTTTTTGAACTTATGGCATATTTTTAAATTAGTCAAAAACCAAAATTAATATTCATCATACATATAAAAATAATCATATTCTGATTTGTAAAACTTGATGCCATAGATAATTTTTAAATATTTTCTATTTTTATATTTTAATTATAAAAATATATAATATTAATTTAAATAACAATCTTCAAAATTTTGTATGCATTAGAATCTAATATTTTGAATGTTTATGTGATTCAATACAAGTATGTTGAAGAATTATGTGATGTTTTTATAAATCAAGTATTGCAACATACGACCATTCAAACTTTGAAATAATTCAACACATAATATAATTATTCAACTACAATTATCTCTTTTATCAAGAGAACTGTTAGATGGACACCTCCATCGCCACACACTCTTAGGATAAATTTACATTAAAAGCTTTGTACTTAATGATTTATGGTATTTATTGTTATTATTTAAGCTCAATAAACTTTCATGTTACATTTCATATAATTCTTCCATCTATTTAAAAATTATTATTAATTTGTTCAAAGAATATTCTATTGTAAATGTACCATAATTTTATTTAATATAAATAAGAGTTTACTATATATATGTGAAGGTGCATGACATAAGGGATATCCATGCACTAAAATGGGGGGTGGTGTCCACATAGTGGTTTCCTTATGTCAATTGCTTAATATTTTACATATTAACAAAAAATTGTAATTAAATTGACAACCACATCAAATTCAATATTTCATGTAGGCACACTCATGGACCAACTCTAAACCTATAAACCAAAATTTATTATAATGTTTAAGTTAAATTTAAGTTAAACTTATAATGTTTAATGTATAAAAAGTATTTTTATACATCAACAACTCATTCTAACCCATTACTCCCAAACCAATAGAAGGGCCCCAATGCTTGTAAGAGCACTAAGTAACCCACACATCTATTACCAATATCAAGTCCCTCCCTATACTCCATAAAAATTGAAGTACACGACACTGAATAACTGAAGCGCCGATCGTATATACGCTCCACAACATACACACAATACTATTCAACTATACAAATACTCCTCATACGTATATTAAGGCCGGATACTTACGAGGGTCGTAGAGGCAGAGAGGGCCAAACCCTAACGCCTAGGTTTGCTGAGCTCGAGTACCGAAGGCTGTGTTTGTTTGTGTGTGCGGGTTTTTGGCAGCAGGTTGCGAGCTTTCGCCAATCGATATTCTTCCTGTTCCGCTCAGACTTTCTCCCTTCGGGTGCGTTTCGTATGCCCTAATTCACAACACCCTTGCGATGCCACTTTCTACGAGTGCCTCCTGGACCGAAGCCTTGCTCTCTGTATGAAGTTAGAGGGCTGGCTTTGTTCAGTGCGGAGTGGTTTCGTGGGCCAGGAAAATAAAACGAGAGAGTCGTATCGGTTTTTTTTTTTTTTTTTTTTTTTTTTTTTTTTATTCGTTTGTAGTGTGGTTTAGTTTTTTTCTAGGAGGTGTTGGCCGTGGACAATTTTTTAAGTGGCTGGAGAAGGCTCGTTAAGATGAGTTAATAACCGGTAGTTTTTGTTTATTTAAAATTTGGGCGTTAGTTGAAGCGTGTCGCTGTTGGCTGTGCTAGGATTTTTTTTTTGTAATATTAATTGTCTTGAGATATCATTCATTGAATAAATAAATAATTTGTGCGCAGAGAGAAGTTGTCGTGTGTTTTCAGTGGTTCTTGGTTGGTTCGTTCTTCAACACAGGGTTTAGGGTTGTCTGATATCTTCATTTTGATGTCGCCTTTTGCTTCGTCTTTTGCCTCGTCTTCACGCATGTTCGGTGATAAGTAAATCACTTCCGGTACAGGGGGTTTTGCAAATGTGTTGCCGTTGTTTTATGTTTCATTTTAATTTTGATAAATGTGGAATGAAGAGAGCATATAGGGAGTGCTCCTATAACTCTGTCAGGCTTCTTTGGAGGCTATGCTTGTGCTGGAGTTCCAAATTGATTACATGTTGCAGTTGAACTTGCCAGAGGTGTGCACTGCTATCGCATGCATTAAGTTTTGAGGCAAGCCCTCCCAGCAACAATAGAGGAGGTGAGCTAGGTGGAGTAGGTTTGGAGAAATGGCGAAGCTTGGAGGGAAATCTAAAGCGGCATCACCGTCAGTTACCTCTGGATCATCCTCCTATTCAGGCTCGTCGTCAGCGTCAGGTTCACGATCAAGGTCACGATCGTCTTCATCCTCTGGAAGCGAGACCTCCAGAAGTCGTAGTCCTCCTGCAAAATCAAGGTAATCTAAATTGGATTCTAACTAAAATAAAGGCATATGGCGCTAGCGTATTAATTTTTTGCTATATTAGTTGAAAATCTTACTGGTAGGCGAAGCGAGGAGTTGAACAATTCTGCTCTATACCAAAATGGTTGTCATGGTACAGTGGAGAAAGCTTTTCTAGGTTTCATATCTTACTTTAGAAAGTTCAAAGCAAGAATGTGAATCAGTAAATTATTAGAGGTTTTTATCATTGATTTGGAAATTATAATTGCTTTTGTTTTTTATGTGCTTTTTTACTTCAAGATACATTATCATATGTTCTAAAGATAATTCAGCAACTCACTCCTCTGTGTTTTCATCTCATTGGAATATTAAAACTAGAAAATAAAAAGTCCAAAGCCCATTTATTTTGATCGCGGTTTGCCCCTTTTCTTTGTGAAGGTATCCACGCATCAAGTCGTATCCATTTACTCTGTATGCTAAGTTACGGCGTTAGTATTTCCAGCAAATATGACTCCTCTTCCATACTTTTTTTCCCCTCTCTTTCTAATTTTTACAACTTTCATTGTTAATGTCAATACTGTTACAATTTTTATTATTTTTCCTGTGCAGTGATGTCGCAAAGAAAACCAGAGCATCCCCCCCCCCGCCTACGAAATCATCTGCACCGAAGTAAGTACTCTGTCAAGTTGCAGTTATCATTCTAGCTGGCCAAGTGAGTCCTGCAGTGGGTCTTAGTCCCTGCCAAAAGTGCTTTGTTCGGTTTCTGTTTCGGTTTCTACGCATGAACTCATTCGCTATTTTGGAATGCACGTGGTATCGTAAGCTCATGTATTTGTTGTATAGTAATCCTCTTGAATGTTCTGTATCACAGGAAATTGCGCACTCCGACTCCTGAGTCTACCGTATTGCATGTTGGTTGCCTTACTCGCAATGTCAATGAGGCACATTTAAAAGAGATATTTGGTACGTATGCTGCGTTCACTTTTATCCATTTTTTCCCATGCTAGTAAATGCTTTCTGCTCAATGAATTGTATTCTATTTGCAGGTTCTACAAAACTGAGCTATCAAACCATTTAGCTTTGTGATTCTTCAACCATTTAAGAGCATGAAGTGTTTTGGATTGGTATGTTGCAGGGCTTTATGGTGAAATCGTGCACGTTGAACTCGCTATGGATCGCACCGTAAGTAGCTTATGATGCTTCATCTCATTCTTTTCAGAATTGTTTCTTTGTTCATAAGAGCAGGTGTCCTCCATGTAGTTCACTTACGTCTTTTCCTCCTCTCCCTGTCATGTTCTTTGTTCTTTGAGTCCCTCTGAACCGATGACATGGTTGGCTTTTTTTATAATGATTGTTCTTCTGTGATTAGGGAGATTGTTCGAGCAGCCTTTAGTTCACTTGTTATGGGTTCATTCTGAAATACTTTGCAAGTATGCATGATTTACTGGTGCCGTGATGAACAGGTGAATTTACCGAAGGGATATGGATATGTTGAGTTCAAAAGAAGAGGTGATGCTGAAAAGGCATTGGCCCACATGGATGGGGTATGTGAACTTACCTCACAAAGCGGAGACTTATTGGTTGTGTTATTAGAAGCGGCTTTATCTTCCCTAGTATAGATCTAACAACTTTGAAAACAAAAAAAAAATGTATATTTTAGGGCAGTTGAGACCACCTTCCTAAGAATTTAATGGGAATGCATGGTAGTACATTGATTTTTGTATGCTGAATCACTTTCTTTGTTATGCATTGAAGTGTCGCTGGCGCTTTTTTGCAAGTCATTATTTACACAATGTGGGAAGTAATAATGCAGGGTCAAATTGATGGGAACGTCGTTAGTGCCCAGTTCATCTTGGTGCCGAGGAGAAAACCAACACCTCCTCCTGTAAAGAGACAGGTTTCTCCTGCTCCTAAGAGGGAAATCGTTGGACGGGAAGTGCCTCCACGTGATGGTGTGAAGGATGGTCTTCGTCGCCGTGACTGTAAGTGTTCCTCTCCGTCCTTTTCTACCTAATGTGTATTTTGGGTGCCAAACTCTTCTGGGCTTACACTAATAGTGGATTAAATATGCTATTTCAGCTCCACCAATTCGGAGAGGGCGGTCGCCATCACCTCCCCCTCGAAGACGTTCCGGGTCTCCCCGCAGGCGAATGCCTGATTCACCACCTCGTAGACGAGCTCCTGCAGTATCCCCACGTCGCCGTCGCTCTCCTTCTCCCTTCCGTCGACGCCGTTCACCCATCAGGTATGGTGGCTCTGTCCGATAGACCTTTGCATTTTCATGGAGTTTTATTATTTTATTATTTTATTATTTTATAGTTTTTTTTCCCAGAAGAGTTTATGCGTTTTCTTCATTCTTATCAGATCTCCACCAAGGAGAATACGAGGCAGCCCTGTTCGACGTCCACGCTCTCCACCACCGTATAGAAGAAGGTAATTGAAGTTCATTGTTCCAATTACACCTTTTCTCTTCATAGCTTCTAGTTCATTGAAGAGAAAGTATGTTCATTGACATGGCGAGTGACTGTATTTGTCGTATGGTGGTTGCCCATTTCTTTTCTCTCATGAATCACTCTTGGTCTGATGCTCGTTAGTTTGCAGAAGGTCCTTTAATGGCCTGCGTGAATTTCGAGACTGAAATTAGGTTCTGCATAAGCTAGTTCCTCACATTCAGAGCACTCTTTTGGTTTACTTGACATGTACAGATCTCCTCCACCTGGGAGGCGTGCAAGGTCACCACCACCTCGCAGATCTCCACCTAGACGCCGTGCGAGCAGATCTCCGCCGCCTCGTCGACCACTTCGCTCACGCTCTAGATCTCGTTCAGCTCCAAGAAGGTATATCAATTTTCATTCGAATTCCTTCAGTTGGTGTTCTAATGGTAGAGCTACAGTGACAAGTGCATCTCTTCGGTAAACTTTCTCGCTTGTACTGATTTGTAATGATTGGCATATTGCAGGGCACGCTCTCCCATTAACAAGCGCAAGAGATCGACCTCTTACTCTACGTCTCCAAGCCCTGTGAAGGTTAATAATCTCTTTTAGTAGTTACTCGTAGGGTTTTAGATTATTTTTTTCGAGCTAAATGATATGACGCGGGTTCATTTTGGATGATTTGAAAAGGTTTGCTCCGGGTATTCGTCAGTCACTTGTCGTGCACTTTGCATTTGGCATAGTGCCAATTCTCTGAAATAGCCTTTTTCTGATTTTTCCCTGGTCGCAATGTTATTTTCCAGCGCGTTTCTCCTCCTGGTGCTAAGAAGTTCCTTAAGAGTCGGAGCCCTAAAAAGTAAGCTGCGCTTTGTTGAAACCGTATCTGCGTAACTTTTGTGGATGATCAGGAACTAATAATTTTCATAAATACATCTTTTGATTCGAACGTAAAGAAGAAATCTGTTCTAACCTGCTTGATGTTGACTTTACAGATGCTAGGTTTATTGTCGTCGTCGTTTTCCTTCTCATCATGATTACCGTAATTGTTAATGGTTGATTTTTAATTTCTTTTTGTTGTTTTGTTGATTACAGAGCTTTTGCGAACAGCAGCCCCAGCGGTCGCAGTAGCTCTCCATCACCGTCCAAAAGCAGCCAGTGAGTTGAAATGGAGTCGAGGTTGTTAATGGAGGTAGCGTCTGTTTGCATAGCTCATGCTGAACAGCACAGCTTGACTGTGAGCATCATGAATGAATTCCAGAGTGGATTGCAGGGGATTAGACTAGTTGACCCTTCTGCAGCGTCCGAAAGGTGGTCAAACAACGAATGTCCTGATGTGTATAGATGAAAGCCATATTCTCATGCTCTACGATCATGATTTTGAGGTGGCATTTGGGTGAAAGCAGTAATTTGAATATCTGTTTTCTTTGCAGGGCCTTGGTGAATCCAATTACCGTCAGCAACTAAGTCTTGTCATAAGACGTTGGGACCCTTTCTCATTCATGCAGGGCACAATTTCTCTCTCAACTTCCTACATGTGCGAATAACTACCTGTGACGCATGGATAGGTGCTTGCATCCTTTTTTCTATGCTACATTGCATCAGACATTTTGTTCATTAGCCTGTGTCTGATCTTGGGTGATTTTTTTTTTTTTTTTTTTTTTTTTTTTTTTTTTTTTTTTTTTTTCTCTTTCCTGCTACCTTGTTTTGTGTCCAGTTGTAAGTAGAGTCAGTGATTTCGGTTGTCCCTGTTTTGGCAAATTATTTAAGCTGCAATACCTATGTTAATGGATTACTAGACAAATTTTGTGCAAGGGCTATCCAAAGAGATCTCAAGTCAATAGAGGGTGTTCTTGTTTGTTTCACCCTGTCTGGGGACGTGCTGCCTGCCGTCTGACGCAGTTTTCGCTGGCAACTGATGCGTTCTTCAACAAAATCGGGGGCCTTTTTGATAGTTAAGGTCGTTTGCTTCATCAACAGTCATGTGGGAGGAATTTGAGACGTCTTCCGTTGAAAGGGGTTTGGAGATGCATCGTATGCTGCTGCTGAAGTACTGAAGTGGAGGGACAAGAAGACATTGTGTCCAAACGAATCTTGGGGAGAGCATTCTCAATTGACGTGAATCTCCAAGACTGTCAAGCGTTCCTTATTCGTGAAGACGTTGATGCTGTCTGTAGCTTTTGCACTTACAGACAGCATTAAGCTTTTTTTGTTAATGACATGGAGAGCTTGACTACATGTTTAAGGCTGCGAGGGTTGATAGTTTTTAGTTCATGATAGTTCAACTCTTTGAAAATACATATGCTATGTCCTTTCATTTGTGCAGGACGTGTACTAATGTGTGTACAGTTCATGAATTGTGTGAGTCGAGTTCCTATCGTATGAATGCAACTTATTATATCTGAACTATTTGTGCCACTTCAATTTTGATGTATGGCAACTTGTTATCGTAGGTTGATTGTGATTATGAAAGTTAGTGTTTGTTAGTTTGTTTTTTGAGAAAAATCTTTGCGAGCAGCTGTATTGAGCTGTGCCTAGCGGTCGAATAATAACCTCTAAAAAGGTTTGTTTGAGGAGAAAAACCAGTTCTGTAAGTGACTTTTTACACTTCATAAAATTTTCTTTTGAAAAACAAGTGGCAAGTGTTTGTTCTTTGAAAGACCACCTACAATTAATACAACAATTAGATGTTTTATAATTACAAATTGAATCACATGTTAAATAAAAACAAAGCATTGAAATAAGATATTATCATGTTTATTAATATGCATGAACAGTCTGAACTATTGTATCAATTTAGTATTAGTAGTAATTGTTTTCTTTAACACATGTTCAGCTTTTTAATGGTGATAGAAACAATATTAAAAATAATTTGGCTACTCATATTATAACTACATTGGAGTTTGGTGCAACAAGTTGTAAATATGAAACATCTTTAAGGTCTTTTAGCTTTAAATAACTAACAGCCAACTTAAGTGGACTTCTGTTAATGTAGATTTAACCAAATAAAAAAACAATAATTTGATTAACTTGACCTAGTCAAATTGATCAAGATATAGATTTCATTTCTATCTAATGGATGGCTTCCAAAAGTTTCTAGAATAAGTTTATACTTCAAGTTTGGATATTTTGGTTTATGATTTCAATGAGAAAAATAAGATTTATTTGTTATTGTTTTGTAGTTAGATGATAGTTTTTAATTGAATTGAATTTGACTGATTGATTTTTAAAATTCTTCAATAGAACTTTCACATAACATTGTTGTTTGTTCTTAAAATTATATGTTTTTCTGTCAAGAAATTTTGTCATCACCCTGAATGACAATTGAATAAAGTACTAAATATATATCACAAAGAACAACACACTTGCACTCTAAACTTTTGTTGATCATAAGTAATTCTCTTCTGACAATAGTGTCGCTCTGACATTAAATTTTTAATAATTACATTTTTAATATATATTTTAAATATTTATAATAAAAAATATTTGTATATCACAATTCTTTATTCTATATATATATATATATATATATGAAAACATTTTAAATAAAAAATGTCTGACATACACTTTTAATAAATTAATGTCTGATATACACTTTTCCGTGATTAGAAATGCTGTAAATTTAAAAAGCACTGGATCTATTTCTAACCAAAAAGGTGTTAGAATTGGTCATAAATAGGATGCGAGACTCTTGGAAATATCCCACCTTATAGGTCGGAAATAGGGGGTGGTCAAGAATGGGTCAGCTTCCTTGAAGGGAGCCCAATAGCAAAATGAGTGTTTTTGGACATCCTTTCATGAGAAGTCTAAAAAGATTTCACAATTGATTTGATGATATTTCCAATCTTTCACATTTTTTACACAAAGATCTTCTAATTCCATTTTCATTTAGAAATTGGGTGGAGTTTTATTTATTCCAAGTTTTTACTGTGATTTTTTTTTGAGATAATTCATCTTTTAGAAGGTAACCCTGTTTTTCCCCTCACGTTCTGGTTTGAACATTGTATAATTATGTTTATAACGGAAATCATAAATCTGTGAAGTCTAGTGATAAAATTACTCTTGCAGGAAGTTTTTCAAAAACTAATTATTGCTGGATAATTGATAAGAAGGAACCATATGCATTAAATGGATGTAAAAGAAGGATACTCTAAAACGATTCACGCTACAATGCGGTCATCTCCGTAGAAGTTGTTCAACTGCATAGTTTCAGTATTTTATTATCAGCTAGTAAAAGCAAGACAATTCCTATTGCAGTAGGATTTCTGAATTTGACTTGTTTTTATGTGTTCTTTTTGTTGCTTTTGTTTTCCCCAGTAGCTGCCCGCGGAATGGGTCCCCAAAGCATCGAAGAGGCCACGAATGGGCTGCGAGCAAGTTTGTGGGGTGGAGCCCCACCTTGCGGGGGCTCAAACCTTCAACAAATGTTGCCCACAAATTCAATCGCACGGGATAAAACATATGCCTCGAACGCCTCACGTTGTAACACTTAGAATCTGCCACACCTGGTAGCGGCATCTTTGTCTATGTTGCCAGCTTCGGGGGTTTGAATTGGGTCTCGAGAGTTTTATTGCTGTAGATTGTTGGGGCCTGGAGTTGCTTGATTTCGTTTTATAGACAGATAAATAGATAGATAGAGAGCGAGATTGAGATTGTGGGCAGGGACGCGTGCGGGAGGTGGTGGAGATGGTGGAGGTCAAGAGGATGACGATCTGTGTCGGAGACATTCATGGCCATCTCGATCGGCTCAAAGCGTTGTGGCGCAATTTGGAGCTAAAGTTGGGATCGGAGGTTTTTGCCAGTTCAACGGTAATATTCCTAGGGGACTACAACGACAGAGGACCTGACACCAAGGGGGTCCTTGAGTTTCTTGTTGGTTTGCCAGAGCGGTACCCGAAACAGAGGCATGTATTTTTATGTGGGAACCATGATTTTGCGTTTGCAGCGTTTTTGGGTGTGCTGCCGACGTCTTCCCCTGGTGTGGAGTATACTAGTACGTGGGGGGAGTATGAGCACCATGAGGAGCGTGAAGGGTGGTGGAGTGGGCCTGGACAAAAGGAAATCCATCTGCAGGTGATATTCCTAGCATCACTGTTTCTTTCGTTTCTGATTTTGTTGACATAAATTGTTGGATTGCTGGAGCCAGTAATGTGGGTTGTGGAGCTGGTTGGTACTAGAAACTTTTTAGAAAGCATGTTTGGTTGGCGTTGTAATTATGCGTAGACATAGAGCAAACTTACACACACACATATATATATATATATATATATATATATATATAGACACACACACACCAAATTGTACCTCTCGTCTGATCGTTGGGTTTAGGGTTAAGGGCTGCTTCAAATTTGTTTGAGCGTGGGTATCTTGTGTGCCTGTGTGTGAGAGTTCAGGGGCGACGTTGGGCTGGGAAAATGAAGTCTACATGGAACACGACGAGAAATGAACCATACAAGGGCTCTATATACGACGCTCGTCCTACTTTTGAGTCATATGGCGTTTCTCACGGTGACAGGGCAGGTGGGTCTTTGACTTTGCCTACTTCATAGATTTGGAATTGAAATTGCAATGCTGGCCTTTTACAAGTTTGTGTGCACAGAGCTTCTTTGCCATAGTTTTTTCTGGTGTTAGACTTTTCCTTTTCTAAAAAGGGATTTATACTGCAATAGCTCAACTAGTCGAATATCCCACTTTTGCAAAGCCTTTGTTGCTGTTTAGTATGCGTATGCTGAATCGGGAAGCCATGTTTTAAGATTCATTTTGGCCCTATGACATACTGATCTATCAGTTCACTTGAAAGGATTAGATTCTAGGAGATCAGGGCAATTTGAGGCTTTATTTCTCTTTATCAATGGTTGCAGGTTTAATTGCAGCTGTTCCCGACAACCACAAAGAATTTTTGCGTAACTTAGCGTGGGTCCATGAGCAGGTACGGCTTGCCTTCCTGACTGTGTGCGTGATGTGTGTTTACGAAGGCCCCTGTTCGTCGAAGGGATTCCACTTTTACTCGCACATTCATAATTTACTGTGGGATAAGTTAGATATTCTTACTATTTTTGTTTTTGAAACAGGAAGGAGAAGAGACAGAGGATCCAGAAACAAGCTACACAAAACTTATTGCCGTCCATGGAGGTCTAGAGTCAAACTCACTTGACAACCAGATGCAGATGTTAAGAACTAAAAATGGAATGCTTCCACGTATTGAGCCCCTCGCTGGTCGGAAGAATGTGTGGAATACCCCTCCTGTAAGCTAGTCGTCTCATTCTTCTCATGGATCGTATCTTTATCGTGTAAAATCTCGAAGCTCTTTCTCTTCGTACCACAAGATTGTGGAATGAATATGCGAAGTCCTTGTCTTCTAAGCATCTCCTGTATTGAACTTGACACGATTTTCATTTTCTTCTTCTTGTTTAGTTTTTAGTTTTTAAATTTATTTTTTAGAGTTGATCCCTCTCCTCAGCAAAACAATTTGTACTCATGAAAATGTAATATCTATGGTGATGTAGGAATTGGCAGCACAGAAGGTATTGCTGGTAAGCGGCCACCACGGAAAATTGCACTTCGAGAGCAACCGTCTCATTATCGACGAGAGTGGAGGTTTCGACGACAGGCCCATTGCTGCGATGATTCTCCCTGCTCGAGAAATTGTTCGTGACACAGATAATTTCTCAGAATGCACATTGCAGGAGCCACGGCCACAACCCCTGCTTGTTTCTCACTAGCTCCACCTAATGTTCTTTCAATGCAGTATACGTAGTACCGTTTTGTATCATCTTCGGGCACCACCTGGCAACCATTTCTGATTTACCATTGTTCCACTTATTGTTTCGCTTATAATGCTTTGAATAAAAGTTGCGCCTGATACACGCTTCCTGGCAGCAATTCTTCCTATTATGGTCCTACTACTGCAATGTGGATCTAAATTGATGGTTTATAGTAAGTTTCCAGGAGTGGGTATGGCCGCTTCAGCAAGTTTTGACGCCATTTTCTAAAAGTTCATTGTTTCAAGTTATTTGCAAAACACTGATGTCTGGCTTGTTCTTAATGGCTTGCCAATTGAATTCTGAACTTCCAGAGGTGTGATGACGATGCACCAATACACACAATGGTCGGACTTCGAATTTGACGTCCATTTCTGTTGTCGTAAGGGACCTAATATCAAAGTTACTGGCCTTCACAGTGTATGAATGAGTGATACTGTCCGACAAGTGTACCTTCATTCACACGTATTTTCCAGGGGGTTGAAAGTCGCTTTGCTCATATTCTGAGATCTGTAGCCACGCCCCCTGCCATCGTAGCAAGCGCCAACAGTCATTTGGTCACGTTGCTGCAAAAGCTTGCGTCACTTGATTTCATGTTTGCTCTATGTTCAATGTCACTCTGCCATGCTCTTATGGACTAGGAAAATTAGGATGTAGCTGCAAATTGGATTGTTCATCTCCAGTCAAGCTGTTATTCACACGGCCATTGCTTAGCCATTTTGGCATCGTTAGAATTTTGAACAGATCTTATGGTCTTCGTCATGTGGAATGTGTGGGAGCTTCTTCAGAGGCGAGCTGTAGCTGAAGGGCAGAAGCGCTTCCGACACTGTCAGGGGGATTTTAGTGAAGGGGTTCTTCACCTGCGGAGTGCTCAGCTCTGCACCTAGTGGATGAGACCACAAGTCAAGAGCCAGAAATTGATTCACACACTCAAAACATTCGTAGTTTTTTTCTTTGGTGTCTAAATACGTTGTGTGGCTAAGCTGTTCTTCCTTGATCTGTCTGGGAACCCTGTACACGGAACCCCTTTCAGTAAACTTTGTAGTGAATTCTGAATCCTGGGATTTCTCAACAAGATATGATAGTTAGTCTTGCAGGTCTGATAATCAAAGGGGGCAATATAGTCACGTCAGGCTTGACGTCGGCCAGGTTTTATAACTCTCTCAATCTATTCATGCATGTGCTGTTTCCTAACGTTTGAACAATTTGAGTAAGTTCAATTTGTAATTACTCACTGAAGTGGTGTCGCAGGGTAGGCAATTCCTCATTTCCTCACGTGTTGGTCTGAATTATAGTGTTTAGCGTAGGCTTTAAAATAAGTTTTTGGAACTCTGTTCTTCCTACAGTGTGAAATATATATCAGGTTTTAAGTAGTGAATAAAGGAGATGTGGTGTGCTATTCAAACAAATTATGTGATCTCTTATTTGAGCGCTGATATTCTTTGGCTACTGAATAGGTGAAGACTCCGCCAGGCACATGATCGTATTGAATGGATACGCTATGGTTCTAGTTTCAGAAGAGCATGCTTCTAGGCTTGGCTTCTTTTGCCGCTGATCAGATGCCCTTGTTTGCTCCAAGACTGCCCAAGTCATTACTACTGAAGCCTGAAATGTCCCCGTAGATGATATAATTATGACAGAAGGAAGCGTGGAAACCAAAAGCTTGCCAGACGCTTTGAGATGGGAAATAAGGTTCACTTCCCATGGACTCCTGTAAAAAGACATAGATGGTTGAAGGAACTTCTGGAAGACTTTTGTCATTTAAACCGGTGAAATTTCTCGCACACTGTTGCATTTGATTTGGTTGATGTCGCTAGTTTGGTGTCTCAACAGTGCGCTTGTGGTAGTCACTCAAGTATCCGTCATCTGCATTAGTCATATCAATTATTTTGGTTACTTTGGGTCGAATCCCTACCGTTGCTTTGACTGACACGATGTGTCATTACGATGAGTAGGAATTTGCTGGACCACCAGGCTCCTTGCTTGGAAAGAATGTAGGACGGAAACTTCTTGAAAAGGAGAAAATCAAGGTGAAGATTCTGGCGACGTCAACGAATCTGATAACGATAATGACGACCCAGGTGCAGATTTGGAAGAAAGTAGATCGGATAGTAAAGAAATAAAAAGGGAATAAGAAACATCAGCTTGAGCTGCTGCCACTGGAAAGACTTTAAACTGGTTCCCGTTCCAGAAATGACTGGAAAGCGCAGATGTGGCGGACTAATCACGTCGAATATGAAAAGGGTAAAAGGTTTGGACGGGTACTCATTAGCAACTGTGCCAATAGTTGCTGTTGGTTCAAAGGAATGTTGGACAGTCTAGATTTACTAGATTCTTGGTGAACCCACTTCTTCCCAGGTCTTGGTCTAGCTGGAAATCTAGTTTCTACTCATGGAAGTTGTGTATACACTGATGCATCTTTGGTCAAGCAGGCTACGGTACAGACTGCAGAGTACAGAGTACACATACATACACACACACACACATATATATGCCAAGTCAAGCAGAAGCAGTGTTCATTTTTTATTTTATTTAATTTTTTGCCAACCCGTACAGATATAGGGAAGTTGCATGCTTGAATACGAACGTTGAAAAACTAGAACTCACAGCTCCTGGATGTGAATTCTTGACAGCCCAGTTGGTGGTGAGATTCGTGTGATGTTTATCAGGTCTGCCAACAACTCGAACTGTCGTACATGAGAAAGGTACAAATTGGAATTCGTCCATCACCTTCACATCTAAATTTCATGTTGTCCATAGAGTTTCGATTTTCACTTTGTGTGGCACTTCATTTAACTCTCATTTCTAAGAAAATTGGATTTTTTCCAATTTTTTGAGAATTTTAGCCTTAAGAAACAACATCAAATTCATGTATTTTTCTTAATTTTGAGTTTAGACGAGCCATTGTTTTCGTGAGTAATCCTAGCAATTTCTAAGTGGTATGGTGGACAAGACATCGTCCGTGTTGGATTGTTAATCCTTTTTGCAGGTGCTTCTTCTGCTGTAACATTCTCTGAAAAGCAACCCGATGATGTATTCTGAACATGTAGCTTATCACTTCACTTCAAGAGTGTTTTTTTGTCTTTTGTGGCTTATCCCTTCAACAGTAGGGTACCATACTGTGCATTGGAAGACAGTGGTGGACAGGAAGCAACCTTAAGGATTTACCATCACATCTCAAAACAATTTTTATTGATTTTCTTTGTGATTCTTGCATTGCAAATTTACCACATTTGATTTTTGTTGCTAAGAGCCTAATCCCTTTTAGTGTGACTTGAACCTAGATTTGGTTTTTTTAAAATTAGAATTAAAATTGTAGTAATTAGCTTATGAGTCTCTTTTGGCATCTAAACAATTTAGAATACTCATGTAAACTTTGTATGGAGGGAGTTTGGTTTACACTTATACAAGAAGCTACAAAACTAGAAGTGACAACAATGTCAAACCACAAAGTATACAATGCTTTAAAGATATTGTTATGTCCAATGGGAATCTAAAAAAGTGTTTCATTGTCAATACTTCTACAATCTTGTAAGTCTAGTATTTAAAAAGTTATTTTCTTATTAAATATAATAGTCTAGCAACATCCAAGACTTTAGAATTAATGAATCTCTTTAAAACCACCTATAGAATGTTTATATTTTAGAAATAGAATCTAGACATTAATTTATTTGTTCTAATTACAATAAAATTAAATTATACTCACTTCTTTTCTTAAATTATATTAAAAAATATGTTAGATGGTTTTAAAATAATAATAATCAAAGAAATTTCTTATTAATTAGAAACAATTGTAGACAGATATAAATATAATTTAGATTCTAATAATTCTTAATTAATATTAAAGTTTACTAAAAAAATAACTAAAATATCTTTTAGAGTTTTTTTAATCTTTTTACATATAATAATATTTATTTTAATTGATTACAATTTCTTATAGATTTAATTTGAATATTGTATGAATACAAATTGTAGAATTAAAAATGTTCATTCTTGGTTCAATAAAAATGTTCAATTTGATTAAGCAACACATATAAAAAATCTAAAAATCTAAAACAACTTTGGAGATGAGTTAATTAAAAAATATGAAAGATTCTCAATAGTCTCTAAAGCTCAAAAATTAAATAAGAAATAGCATCAACAAAATCTATTGTCTAAAAAATAAGAATGATTATACTACTGAATTACTTAAACTATAAATCTAAACTTAATCAAGTTGCCAAAACGTTAGTGTAAATGCAATAAAAAGCAAGGTCCAAAAGATTGTTGTATTGAAAAGATACAAGTTGAAAAAACTTCTAATAAAATAACAAGTTGAAGAAAATAAATCCAACAAGCCTTCTATTCAACTATTTTTTTACTAAATGTACTTGTTCTAATGAAAGAACCAAACAAAAGACTAATTAAATCATTTTATTAGCCATGTTCATCTTATGATGAAATTGAAACAAAAAAAATACATAGAAACAATACCAAAATGTAAAGGAGATATAAAAAAATCTTCTTAAAATATGTTATACATGCTTGAGTTAGAATTGATCATGCACAAATCTTTATAATAATATATATTTTTTTAATTTTATTCTATAAAATTGCTTTTTAAACAAAGTTTTAAACAAAATCACCAATAGAATATAAGAATACAATTGCTAATCATACTTTGAACATGCTAAAGTTTGAAATAACTTATAACAATATCAAAAATAAAAATAAATGGAGATATATTTCAAATTTCATATAATAAAAAAAGTTACTTATAATAATTATAAAACATCTGATTTTGAACCAAATATAAAATTAAAAGTGATAGTTTTTAGTTCTTAAATTGCTTAAGAATATTATATTCCTATAGATGGTCAAGCAACACAACAATAATTAGAAAATATGATGGAAGATACGATTGTTGATTTATTCAGAGTATATGATTGTGACGACATTGTCCTTCATTATATGTGTATATATATATATATATATCTATATATATGTCCTAATTCTATATCATATTAATCTAAATACCAAACCTTATTTACAAATAGATATACTTTATGCTTCTATGTTGTTAAAAGATTTGTTAGACAACTCTAAAAAATAACCTTCTATTATAGCATTACTTGTTGAAATCTCAAGTGTATC